TCCCAAAGGGTTTTTCTTAGCTAAAGCTTTTCAACAAAGCAGTTTGTCTAATGCCTTGATAGCGTATGTCGTGTACTCTTTTTCCTTCGCTAATTTTTTTTTCCAATTTTTCTAGCAAGGTTTTAACGAGACATGGATATTAGCGTAATGATGTCCATGTGGAAACATTATAAATGGACATAACTACAATTTATTTTGGAAGAAGATTACGAGATAACCATTATGAAAATTTGTAACTGTCGCTCCACTTCCTTAGCTATAGCAGTATCTATATAGCTTAATTAAAGGGGAGTTATACGCTCTATACTATTTTTTCTCTTACTAAATTTTTATCCCACTAATTTTTTTTTGAAATTTTTTTTAATGAGGCAATCTAAATTAGCGTATAATAATTTGTGAACATCCAAGGAAGTTGTTGTGATATAACTTTGTGAATGTTTCACCTCCCTATCTATTATGAATAGTGTAACCATTTGAATACGGTTTTAAAATCCATGAAGTTACTATTCATATGATACTATTCACACGTGTTTTATGTGCTGTGCATTCACAGATTCAGTTACTGTGTAAATAGTAAATCACTATTCACTGGCAGCTTTACTATTCATATTACTGTGTAAATAGTAAAAAATTTAGTTTCTATAAATAGTTTCTATAAATAGGGACTTCATTCATTGTCTCAGTAATATAAAACTGAATATATGAACTTTCTCTGTGGAATTCTCCTATTTCTCTTATCTTTCTTATCAATTTTTTAACAAAAAATAAATATAAATTTGTATTTAAAATCAACATTAATTTTTTGGATATAATAAAGGCATTGAGATTTAAATCTATAATTTCGTCTATAAAAAAAATAATCTATAATTTCATATAAATTATTTAAACTCCTCACCACTGAATCAATCCATTTAGTGCCTTATCAACATTGATACTCTAGATTTAGTAGCTGAATAATTTATATTTACATTTATGAAAATGTACAATCTTCATTAATATCTTTGCCGGAATTGTGTTGACATGAACGTTATTATAAATTATTATTTTTGATGAGTTAAAAAAGATCAGTTCCTGTCTGAGTTTATATACTTTTAAAGATGGCTAATACGTTTTCTATGTTAGATTAAACAATTTTATTTCATATAACACATAATAATTAAAGGGTTTTATTAATATCGTGTAATAGAAGAGAAGCTATAATGCTATATCATATTATAGAGACAATTATATGTAGGACCAATTCACTTAGAAAAAAGAAAAAAGAAAAAAAACACGAAAATTGATGTATGTGAGGAGAGAAAAATATTCTTCTACAACATAAAAATATTTTTCTATAATTAAACAGGTGAAACTAACTTTTTTCTATCTCTTTTCTCATTAGTAAATTCTATTTTTTTTGTTGCATCAGATAAATTATATGCAACATGATAAATATATTCCGTTTTAAAAATATATGATGGTACTATATACTAAAAAAGAAATAATTTTGATAAAAAAAAAGAAAATCCTGTATAAAAATGCTATATTTTTTTATAAAATAGATTGGTTTACCTATTTTTTCTATCAATCTCTATTATTGTTAGATTAAAATCTCAAAAAAATAAAATAAAATATTAAAGATTAATTGAGATTTTAATTTAATAATATCAAAGAGTGATAGACAATATCTACATAAAAAAAATAATCTACCCCTTATTTATATATAAGAAGGGATTTATTAGTGTTATGTTATATGATCTAAGTGTTGTTTTCAACACACACACAAAATGAAGAGAGAAAGTAGAATGATAAAAGAGAAAGAAAAACATGTGAACCCCACCTCTTTAATGTGTGTGTAAAGAAGTGATGTTATATCATGTTACCTGATAAACATAAAATCCATATAAAAATTAAGAAGAGTATCATCGATCCACGGAGTGAGATGGAACAGTTAACAGACCCGTGACTCCTTTTTGCTGACTTTTGTCTCGTTGTCTGCGGCACCGATGGCAGTCATGGCACAACCTTTTTGGCTTCACAGTTCACAAGTTCATTCACATGCATTGCTTCTGTTCCCAACAATACCAGGACAACCCTCACTTATATTTTATTCGTCTCGCCCAAGATTTCACCCCAATTACCCATTTTTGCCCTTTAGAAAACCAAAAATGCTAACAATATAAACCAAAAACCCCAATTACCCAAGATTTCATTTATTTGTTTTTCTTCATCCGTATATATCTTTCTATTTTTTCTTTTTGGTAAACTATATCTTTCTAATTTTTAATGTTGAACTTGGCTTGCAATTAGGCCATTTTATTTAAATTTTGTGTGTGTTTTATCTTTTTTGTTATTTTATAATATTTTATTGTATAAAATTAATATTTCTTATATATATAAATTCGAGGAGAGATTGATTTATAGTGTAAGATTTAATACTTTTATATCACTTAATAACTTTAACTATTTTTAATAATACAGCGGTTGAATTGTAATTATTTATTATCTTAATTATGTGTGTCAAATTAAAGAATAAATGCTTTTTATTGTACCAAAAAAAAAGAATATTTATTTTGCTAAAGCACATATATTTTTCATAAGAGACAATTCTCTTTGGGACAAATTTAGGATTAAGATTTAAACTCCTTTTAAAGATAATACTGAGAAAGATTGAATACATACTCTCACTTCTACATGCTCAGCTGTCATGTGTCAATTGAACTAACATTATTCGGTATAAATGCTCTAATGTAGCATAACTTTAGTAAGGGAATCTCTTTTTTTTTTGGTAGTTGGGGGAATCTCAATTTTTTAAATATAAATTAATAGTGATGAATGATGATATATATATATAATCTCAAATCATCTGATAATTTATTATAATCAAATCATGTAAAAATTCAATAAGAATAAAAATATAATCAAATGATTTTTATATTTTAAAAATATATTACATCAAACTTAATGTATATTAATGAAATATTATATAATTTTAAATATAATTATTCAGTAAAATTTTGTTGAATGATGTATAAGTGATTTATATTTACACCAATTTAAATAAATCCTCACTTTATAAATTAATTTCTTTTAAGTACACATAACTTAATTTTTTTTAAAAAAATACATTCCTTGTACGTATCTGTACCGAATACCGCCGTACCGGTACCGTATTATTATTGTGTGATAGGGAGTTCATCAACCGATTCAAATCGCGGTGACCGAACCAAAAAATCGAATAAATCGAAAACCGAAACAAAATCGTTAATTTTAATTGGATTGGATCGATTTTCGGATTTGTTGATGCAAACCGATCCAATCCAAACCGATCCAATATATTAATTCCCTTCTACCTACTTGGGCCTTTTCCCAATCATAGCCCAAAAATTTCTAAACTCAAGACCTATTAACCCATCAACTAAACTCAAGAAAAAGCCTAGTCACATTTTATCAACAAAATTTTATCTCTGTGTCCCAAAAAAAAAACTATGTTATCGTTTACTGATGCTTTTGTATTTAAATTTTTTTTTATAAAGTCAATATATACAAAAGATGTTATTTACACAATAATCATAAAACAAATTTTAGGATTTTCCGAAAACCGAAAACCGATCCAATCCAAATCGAAAAAAATTGGATTGGATTGGATCAGATCGAATTTGAAAAAATATTCAAACTGAATAGATGATTACATGATCAAACCGAAAAGATTAAATTAGAGAATTTTTCTTTTCAAAACTTATTCAATCCAGATCACGAATATTCCTATTGTATGATACAGTGCAATACTAAATTGCTAGAAATGGTGTGTACTATTTTTTTTTTTTGCTAGAAATGGTAATTATTTAAGGGAAAAAAAAGAAAAGAAAGAAAAGCTGAAAAGCAGGGTCATTAATTCAGTACTGTATCTGTAGCTTATGCCAGTACTCCAGTACCTTAATGATATCAATCAGACACAGCAAAATATTATTGGAAATATGAGTGTAAGGTTATAGAATGTAATATAAGAGAGAATTATATTTATAAACTTTTTATTTATAAATTACATTATATTCTTTCAAGAGAATATTAAGTTACATTATATTCTTTCAAGAATATATAATATAATTTATAAAAATTTATAAAAAAAATTTGTAAACAGATATTTCTCCTCTAACATAAGTCATGTTATAGATTTAAAAAAAACAAGCGATCCACTTTGTTCAGGAGAGAGAATTTTTTGTTTGAAGTGGGTCCTATATTTTTTTAAAAGATTTTATTAATCTCCTTCCACATAAGATAGTTATCTTATGTACTAAAGAGAAAATGAGTGGGTCCCACCATTGTAAAAAAAAAAGAAAAAGAAAAAAAAAGTAGGGTGCGAAAATCGAACTGAGAGAAAATGAGATAAGTTACCTCATGTGAAAGGAGAGTAATATTTCCCTTTTTTAAATTTATAACATAATCGATATCACGTCGTCCTATGACATTATATTTAGTATTTGAGTTTTATTATTATCCTTCAACGTAAGATATGTATCTTATGTTGTAGAGATAAAATGAATGAGTCCCACCATTACAAGAAAAAAAAAAAAAGGTGAGGTGCAGAAATAAAAGTAAGAGAGTAGAAGAGAATTAATCTTATTTAAAAGGAGAGTAATATTTCCTTTAGTATTTATCAATATTATTCTATTGGAAATGGTAATCTTTTTAAATAAAAAAGGAAAAGAAAAGAGAGAAAAGCTAAAAAAGCGAGGGTCATTATGGTAACGGCAAGAAATGAAGGTTGTTGTCGTGATCATAAACGTCGTATTCCGGAAGCCTTCAAGGCAAATGGCGCCACTGTAAGTAAGTAAGACTGTATAACATCAACATGTGTAGTTAGTACTTCATCAAATAGCTTCTTCCTCTTCACTCATCAGTTACTCCTCTTCCCTTGTAACGTTCAAATCCACTGCAATCTCTGTCGCATTCACTTTTTTCTGTTTCTCTGTTTCTCTCTCTCTCTCTCTCTCTCTCTCTCTCTCTCTCCTTAAAAGAACCGAAAACCTGTTCATGAACCAAGGCATATCTGGACTATAATGACTGTCGATTCGTCTTGCCAGGTAACATTTTCTCGCCTTCGATTTCGACCTCGTTGTTCGGTGTCAACTATGTTTCCAATTCTAAGCTGCATTTGAAGTTCACTTTAGTACTTCCCTTCCCCGACATGTCTTTTAACCGAATCGGAATCTCAAAAGTTGAGTCGTGTGTTTTTCCAACTTGCATGCTTTGTTTGCTACTTGCTAATGAATTGCATAGAGCATGTGAAGAAATCGACATTTATGCGGAATGCTGGCCTACTTTCCAGCTTTGTGATGGAAAACGAAACATGAAAAATCTCAACGAGAGTCATGTGATTTCTGAAAGTGAAACCACACGATTTTTCGTTCTAGCTTGCGTTATTTACTTTACAGTTTGAAATTCAAGTTGATTTACTCAGAATCTTACTTAAGATGCATGGATTGAGGACTATTGCTCAGAGTCACGATCTACAAGCTTTTACTCTCGATTAATTGAGGAGTCACTTTGTTTAATGTATTCTTAACTGAGATTCAGCTTCTTCTTTTTTTTTTTTAATTTAATTTAAAATGATTTTCATCTTGGCTTGCGGTTTGGTTGCAGAAAGAACATCAAATTCGGGAGTTTTTGGACAAAAATGGAAGCGTATCTGTTGATTGTTCGTGTTTGAAGTTACATAAACCAGGTACTGATAACCTTAAACGACAGTTTCCTCTAGGTAATTGTACTAAATTGGATCACTTAATATGTTGCATGTCGCAGAAATGGCTTTAGGCTTTATGGCTCTTGCTGATTTTTATTTTTATTTTTTCAATTCAGAGATTCCACCGATTCTGTTTGAAGAAGCTTCACATCCAGCAGGATTGCACGGTTCACATGTTGGTTCTTCTTTTCTCATACAGTGATCTAGTTTTTTTTTTTTTTTTATTTGTTAATCTGTTTTTTTTTTTTTTATGTGGCTGAATGGTAGTAACTGGTACTGATTTTATAATCGGGTTTAGCTTCTTTTGAAGTATGTGCTTGGTAAGAGTCAATATTAGGTAAAACAGTCCGGTCTAGAACTGAAGCAATTTGTTACATTTGGCATTTAATTATTGAGGACTCGGGTGTAAGATGATGCAAGTTCACACTGCGTTCTGATATACAGTTTGTGTTACTGGAAATTAGAACCATAAGATTGGTATAAGTTGGGTTAGTTGGGAATGACAGTGCTCTAACAGGATTAGTTAGCAAAGAAACCCATAAGATTGAAGAGAGGGGAAGGTCTTCATATGTAATCATGTTTCATATTGATTATTTTGCTGCTTTTATCTTTTCTGATTTCAAAAGAAGAAACTGTTAGCACCCGAGTTTTCATTTGGTTTTGGGGTTAGTCACCCGAGAGGGGAAGGTCTTCATATGTAGTCACCTTGTTATTTTGGATCAAATGGTTTCTTGAAATGCAAGTCACTGAAGCTCCTTTTTCTCAAACTGTCAAAAGTACCAAAGGGACTGATAGAAACTCAAATCAAATGTTTTTTTGCAATGTACTGCTTGCCTTTCTTTTTTGGACTGCTTGACCAATTTTATGCCATAAATGGTTCTCTGGAAATGGCTCAAAATATGTTTTAGAAACTGATGCCCTTCCATTTCTTGCAGGCTCGAGATGTTTTCAGTGTTTCTGTGTTGCCTGAGGAAGGTGAAAATGCTAACTGTGCTCCGCCACTAGCTTTCTTAAGCATCTTAGAGGTTCCGAATCAAGCTAAAAGCTCAATGTGCTTAGATGCTCACTTAAATTGCCAAAACTGCATTGATTTTCAAATGAAGAATGGCGATGAGTATTCCCAGTGCAGAATTGACATACCTAATGTGAATGGAAACTCAGTTTCACCTGAATCATATGAAGAGGGAGTTGAAAGTTTTAAAACTGGGAACTCTCCGACTGTAAGTCTCATAAACTTAATAGATAGCTTTAATTAACTGTGGATAAATGATAATTAATATTGATTTGAGCAGTAATCATTTTACCTTTCATCCCATTTCTGTTTATTATTATTTTAAATAACTTGGCATATGTATAGGTCTACTCTTATAAAACCAAAGGGTGGCAAAGGGATCTCCATAAACACACACTAACACACGCACATGTATGTTATGATATGAGGAATGATATATTACAACACTGCAGAGTGTACTGTGGAGAGAATCAAGTTTGAAAGTAGGGGGAAAACTTATGCAGAATCTGATGAACATCAGCAATCCAAGAGGTATGGCTGCTGTTCTTGGGTAGCTTAATATTTTTCAATTTAGATAAGCTTATGCAGTTTTCTTTTACTGGATATGGTTAGGTAGGAGGGAGATAATGTTTTTTCAGTAAGCAATCAGATTCAGAATGTTGTCCCATGCGATACAAACAGGTGGCTTGACAAGGGAAATATATGCTCATTAGTCATAACATTAAGATAAATTGATCTATGTTCTCATGTAACGAGGAACAGACAACCTCCTACCCACTGTCATTCCAAAGACAATTATAACATGGATAATTCTGATTGGTCCCGTAAATAAACTACAAGATTTCAGTTTTGCTTGCCATCTCAAAAGCAAAGCGGTGAAAGATAAGTGGGTTTTGTTCTGGCGTTGTCTTATACAATTGAACAAACATATGAAATACTCTAGTTATGAATAGAGCTGGTTGATTATAACGTGAAGACAAGGTTATAATTCATTTATAATTCAAATTGTCCGCCATAATCCTTTTGCTTTCCATGGTTAATCACATTGAGAAGCCTTCATAATCTGATGTGCCATATAATGATATATCTTTTATCTTATACACATTTTTTGTCATGTTTATGATACCAATTACTCCCTTCTTTTACTTGGACTCATTCTCTTATATTTGTGTGTCTAGAATCGAGTATGTTGGTGATCTAGATACATTTATAACTTTCATATTTTGTAAATTAACAGATAAACCAGTCACTGAGAAGTTACATGATATACCAAGTAACAGATGGAGAAGATATAAGCGCGTTGCCTCATTTGATTCCAGAAAAGTTGCTCTTCTGTTTTCAATATTGTAAGTTCTAGCAGATAGAACAATGAAACTTCACAATTAGAATTGCAGCTATCCACATGGCCATGTGCATTTTATCAAAGTCCTAAATATATATCTATCTGACTTTATTATCAATTATATGTTACTTGTTTTTGCTGAACATTTGCTTAGCTCCAATTGGAGATCTTATGCCTCTTCAGAAATAATTACCAACTGATGGGGCTTTTCTAGCGTCTAACTTTGGGGGTTTTTATTATTTTTTATTTTAATTTTTTAAGTTGAGGGTTTTTCTTATTCATTCACTAAATTGAACAATTACCCTGCAGGTCAAGTTTGGGAACACTGGTGTTGATATATCTGACATTGAGGGTCAGGCAGAAGGCTGATGCCTTTGTTCATATTTGACGGTCCAATCTTCGTTGCCTCCTATTTAAGCGTAGACTTCCAAGTTTCTATGGTTGTTTAATTTAAACTTGCCCCTTGAATTGTAATAGAGTTCCTTATGATGTAGAAGATAGAATATGGGAAATTTTATTTGGCATAAAATATAGTCTACGTTTTTCGTGTAACTCCTTATGTTATTTATGAAAATATCCGCCAAATCATGGATCAGTACAATCTAATCAGTAACCCAAGAGAGTCAAACTATGACCATTAAATGGAGATATACCAAAAAAAAAGGCCATTAAGTGGAGTCAAGATGCAGAGGGAAAAAATGTTGAGGAATTGTGATCATATTTTGTCATCTTTCAGGGTCAATTAGGCAGCTAGCCAGATGGAACCACGGATCTCATTATGGAAATCCACGATTTTGTCTTCTAAATTATATAGGGTGATCATAGTTTAAAAAATTCTAGAAATTTTTCTAAATTTGAACAAGTCTTACATTATTACATAAGCAAGCTTTGGCAGGATAAGCACTGGAGTTTCTGCAATTAAGCATGATATCACTGTCTTTAAATGCTTCCAATTAAGCTCCAGTTTGAAGCTTTATCTTAACATCTAATACGTCAGAATCTGACTATGCCTCCTTCATGTCAACCGGTAAACAATTTCTATATCAGTTTATTACCTGCATTCTTACCTCAAGGATCTAATTGTATAATAAATAAAATACAACAAATACCCAACTTTTTTATCATACATCAAAACCATCACTGCAACCCCCTCCAAAAAAAAAAAAAAAAAACTACACTGAAGAACATTGGTATGGAAACACATTTACCCTAGCTGCATTTTTGCATTTTAGTAGCCAATCCCATAATTGTGCCAAGTGAACAGACCTTATATTGGCTCTTTTGTGAATAATCTTTCATTAGCACGAGCAACCTCCTCCTTGCTGCTCTTTCTGGGATGAATTCACGGTGGGTTTTAAATTTACATCAACCATCTCTTCCTGTTTTGTAGAAGAAAGAGTTTCCATCCAGGGCAAGGCTGCAGCAATCTTACGATTTAAAGGCTGCAATTTTGGATTCACATAAGATTATACGAACATGGTAAACTGATACGAAAGTAAACACATAAAAGAAGATAAACTTGTGAAAGAGAAAAGGAGACAGTTGACCATGAATTTGAAATTTCTGAATAAGGTGTATTCTATGTAAAAGCATCAAGGAGGAATCATTCCAGGTTTTTCCAGATTGATATGATAGATCATAATTCATAAGCATGTTCTGACAAATAAAAAATATGGGGTATATATATTCACAATTCCATGATTATAATTTCATTCCATATCGGACTAGACCGGAATAAGGTTATATATATTATCATCATGAGAAGGGGTGTTCGAACGTATCTAGCAAGTGTCTAAATATTATTTTCCATGATTAAGCATATTCAGTTAAAAGAGGGCGAGTTTGGAGTAGTGGTAAAATTGTTTCTTTGTAAGTGAAAGGTTACGAGTTTGAATCCAAAAAACAACCTCTTTGCAAATACGCAAGTGTAAGACTGTACATAGTCACCCCCTACCCTTGCTAATCGGAGTTTAATGGGGAGTAATTTTTTTATTAAGCATATCCAATTAGCAAATCAGTTAATAATATAACTAAACTTCTAGAAAAAAATTAACATTGACCAGATTTAGAAACTCATTGCTCACCTTTTATCAACAAGATCAATTTTATTTCCTACCAAGACAATAATAACATCACTGCCTCGTTCTGTACGTACCTCCTCAATCCACTTGTTAGTATTCACAAAGATTTATTCGTTGAACAGATGATTGGGAAGCTCTTTGTCTTTTTGTTGGAAGTTAAAATAAAAGGGATGCGAAGACACGTCAATAATATGTTGAATAAAATCATTAATCCTAAATTGGTTCTAGTGATTAATGCAATTACTGTGTTTCTCAATGGACTTTTTAAGTTCTAAAAGGTGCTTGTTGAATATGAATTGTGAACAACACACGCCTAATAACTCGTGGTCATGAAATGTTTCATTTTACCAGTAAGAGAAAATTGCGACAAATAAAAGAAAAATAATAATAATTGAATAAGTGTTTTTGGGAATTATATTTATGAAAATTTTGCCATCTTACAATGCTCCTTGTTTACGCTAGTTATCTACTTTTCATATTAGTTTACTTAAAATGGACATTTGTCTTCTTTGTTTTAGTTGTTTTGCATTTCAACCTCTTCATTTATTTTTCCCTTTTTCCTGCTGCTATTATCAGAAGAACGAATAAATCTTTGGTGCTACTGTTGCACCAAAGATTAAGTGCATCTCATCAATGAGAGTATTACACATTATAAGAGAGAAAAAAAAATTGACAAAGAAAAAAAACTTTAGTTAACATATAATATTTCTATTGATGGGATGTACTGAATCTTTGGTGCAACAGTAGCACCAAAGATTTATTTTTGTTCAACTAGCTTGTAAAGTCCCTAAAAGAAACCATGTAAGTGCAGGGCACGTAAGAGACGACATAAAAACAATCCTATCCCATATCAATTGTGAATGGAAAATCGTTAACTATTAATTTTTTAATAAAAAATTGTTGACAGTTAATTTGCACATTATCTCCTCCTTATAATTTGTGATTTAGAGATAAATTCCTCTTGAAATTGCAACAAAGCTGAATTGTATAAAAGAAATAATAACTCCAGGTGTATTTATATAAGAAAGCTGAAGTCTGTAGAACAGCATTCAGAACCAGGTTCACATAGTATAAGAGCCCACACGGCACAACAGATGATCGTTAAAACCACATGGTAATCTTTAGTGCCCGTTTGAGCAGTGTGGTGAAAGAACTCTGAACAAGAGAAAGGAGTTTAACTACCAAACACAAAACTTTAAATGTAACCAACATGGCAGAACTGCATAGTAACTACTCCGAGTTGCAATAGGAGGAGGAGTTGAGCAACAAGCCAAAGCATTCAACAGGCTGGGGTATAAAATAGCGGAAGAAAGAACTACTTTCATGCAAAACCAAAGAAAGATGTAACTGGAAATGACAGGATCAAGATAATTAAAATCGAGATTTTACGTAAAATCGAAAATGAGATAAAATATCATAAACTATAAAATCATAATATAAAAAAATCATAATAACGTAAAACAGTTTGAAATATTGGTAAAATCGTTTTGATGAAAAAAATCATAAAAACGTAAAATCATAATAATAAATGGAGATTGTAACTATCATGGAGAGAACAGGGTAAACCAAAGACCAAAGTCACCCCAAACCTCACTAGACATAGAGGCAGCTCTAGAAGAAACACAAGAAAGCTCTAGGTGTCTTAAACTTTCAGCTTCAAAAGTTCAGCAGCAAAAACTCCAAATCTTAGCCTTTTTTATTTTATTTTATTTATTTATTTCTATTTCTATTTCTATTTCTATTTTTATTCTTTCAACCTTTTTATCTTTTATTTGAGTTCATCTACGACCGACCCCAATTAATTTGGGATAAAGATGTTGTTGATGTTGAAGTATATAGCCTACATTTTACATCTAACAATATTCTTTAGATGCAGAAGACAGTAAAGTACCTAGTAGCTTCCACACACAAACAAAGGCTTCCAAATGATGAAATACAAGCAACAGCTCTTTAAGAAGAAAATTGTTTTGTTACAATTTTCTTCAGAGCCTAGGTTATTGATGCAACTTCATGGGCTAAAAAAAGAAGAAGCAGTAGATAAATTATTAACTTAAAAGTTAAGCAATGAACCACAGATGAAAGGAAAACAAAATACTCTTGGCTATGCAGAAAAAAAATGAGGCTGGAGAGTAAATAACGTATGTGTGTAAAGATTCAAAATACATTAAATATGCTGCTGTATTAAATAATTCATAATCAATTCAGGATGCCTCTTTATGCAAGTTCAAAACTTAACAACTTCCTACCTGCTCTGAACTCAACAGTCATTTGACATATATTGTTCCTGAAATCATAGTCAAACGTTCTTTCATTCGAATATATAAGTATTAAGTACTTCATTTTCATAATGTTCCATAGTAGTTAATTGCGCCGCAATAGTGCTGCAAGCCGCGCCGTATGGGCGTTGCAGTGCCTCACCGCAAGAAACCGCGTCGCGCCACACCGGAACGCAATAGTAGCCATTGCGATCGCATTTACGGCCATATTGCTGTTATAAGGCAAAATATCAATTTTGTCCTAAATTTAAGTGTGTAACTGAAAAAATTTAAGGGTTTTTTAGTCTATCTGCGTCTCTCTATGTCACTTCTTTAAAAAATGTTCCTTTTTGTCATTATTTCTATCATATATCTATTCTGCTATTTCCGCAACCACAACCCGCTATAACGCTATAGCGTTTTTCAGGGTTGGCTGCGTCATGCCGCAATCCGCATTTGATCACACTATGTAGTGTTCCTGATGTTTATTGCAAACCGCAAACCAGCACAGAGCCTTCAAACTGTGATCTTCAAATACCAGACTATTATTACATTATTACTATTCATATATGGTCTAAAAATTCTTAGTAATGAAAAATCAGTTTGGTAATTTATTTATTTTTTGTTAAAAATAAATAGATTATATCATGTTAAACATCAATGTGCAATTAAACAGGAGAAAATACTGCTGCTAGTATGCTACAACCTGGGGGAGCTGGGAATGCCTAACAGAATAAGTAAACGGATGCAAAGGCTGTCACAACAAATCAATAACGCATAGCAACAAGTACATAAATGAAAAGCAGGTAATATTACTTCTTAGAATAAGCAACAATCACATAAAAATCTTGCTAGTATAATTGCGTCCTTCTTGTTTTGCTACTCAAAAACAACACTCTCAAAAGTCAATTTTTTTATTTTTTATTTTTTATTTCATTAGCAAACAGCACAATCACCACTAATCAACAAAATCCACTTAACGATTAAAACCCATCACACCATTTCCATGCTCAAATGGAACAAAGAGGTTAACAACACCTACCCAAAAAAAAATAAAAAAACTACCTAGTAGCACTACTACTACCAGACCTCATGCTGGTCCAGGGAAACTTAGCAGCACCATCAGCACGGTCAAACCGTCCACGGTTCGAACCGGTGGGTCTTGGGCTGAACCGGCGATCCTCCTTCTTGTCGTCGAGCCAGTGGGTCTTGGTCTCTGATTCGTCGACGACGCTGGACTTGGACTGTTTATTCATCTTCTCCTTGTCGTTTTCGATGATTCGGATCGGGTAAAGATCCGGGGAGAGTGAAAGCGGGTTCTTGAGGGTGACGTAGGCTTTCTTGTAGTCAGGTTTTGCGATCAACAAGCCACCCCTTTTCTTCTTCTTGCCATCCATGTTCAAAGTTCGAACCTTTTCGACCTCGAAGCCATAGAGGGATTCGAGGACGCGCTTGATCTCGATCTTGGTAGCTGAAGGGATGGTCTTGAGAGCGATTTCTTGGATGTTGGTGAAGGAATTAGGCATTAGAAGCTTTATGGGTAGGTTTGCAAACTGTACAACCCTTCTTCCCAATCTGCTTCCCATTATTTTTTTCTGCAACTTTCAATCTCTCACAACTTCACAAAACCCTCACAATCTCTCACAAGCTTCCACTCTGCACAAGTTTTTTTTTTTTTTTTTTTATTAACCCGCATAAGGTGATCTGGTTGGGCCCAATTTTCAACCTATATTGTTTCACTGGCACTATTGGGCTGGAAAACAAGTCAATTGGGGAGTTTTTTTTTTTTTTTTGGTGTTTAAGGAGGATATATTTCCCTAATTGTAATTGGGATCCTTCTTTTATTCTTATGAAATTAAGTGTGTGTTCTTTTAAATAATATAAATTTAGATTTTTTTAAGAGAGAAATAGATACAGAGATGTGAGTTTCATTTAAAAAAAAGACAAAAACGAAGAAGTGTAGGTCTCACTTCTTTATGTCTATTTCTCTTTTAAAAGGATATGAGTTTGTGTATTTTAGAAGAACACATTTTTTCCTTCTTTTATTTAAATTTTTTCTGATAAACCGTAATCGTTCATCTAGACTAATAACAAGGTATTTCATCCCAAAAAAAAAAAAAAGGCATTTGCTTTGGAAGTTCAAATAATAGGGATGTGAAGATAAGTTATTAATATGTTGAATAAAATCATTAATCCTAAAGTGGTTCTAGTATTTGATGCAATTATTGTGTTTCTTATTGGAGTTTTAAGATTTAATAGGTGCTTGCTGAATGACTGAATCTGATATTGCTTAATGATCTTCTAGTTAGAGGCATTCTATTGTTTTATGCAGCATGCATGCTTTCATTATTTGCCTGTACAACAGCTCTTATTTACATGCATTCATTCATGTATCATTAAAAAATATTTTTAAGGGGAGACGTGAATGTGATGTAAAGGGTATGAATATAAATCTCAAATGACATGATGCCAAGGGAAAGAGTTATCCATTTATTCTATTTTCAATGTATTTAATTTTTTATGTTTAAACAAAAAGCGTTTGTAGTCCAACGGTTAGGATAATTGCCTTCCAAGCAATAGACCCGGGTTCGACTCCCGGCAAACGCAATGTTTTTTAATTTTTATTTTTCCTATTATCCTGAAATGGCTGTGTGTAAGAATTTGATTTATCTCACGTTGAATGAGATAAATATATCCCTTTTATAAAACGGTCTTCAACTATAATAATGCTCAAGTAAAATTAGTTTTCATTCTCTCATTAATTAGAATCCTCTAATCACCATATATGAATTCCTTTGACAATGTTGAATGTTGATATGCACCTCGTTCATTGCAAAAATTTGACATTACAATAGAAATTTTTGATATTGGTATAAACAAAGGCAACAAGTAACATTACTACTAAAGTTCGTTTTTTTTTTTATATTGGTACTCCACATCATAGCAAAAAATTGACATTACTAGTGCAAGCCACTACCCTATGAATCGTTGACGTTCTCAGTTCATTTTGGAAAATTTCTCGATATACATCAGAAGATAAGTAAATAATTTTTTTTTCCATAGCATCAATGCCACAAGTATGCATTTTAAGTGTGCCTGAATAATGAACACTATCCAAAGATCACAGTTAACAAGTTTAAATCTTGGGTAATCTAACGAGCAGAAGATTCTGACCATTATCACTTCCATGCTACTGGCCACTATACACGGTCATTATTCAAAGGCTTGAACTATAAATATAAACTAAAATAATTCTGGGCATTATTGGACGCATGGTCAAAAGAAAGAGACTTGAGCATTTGGGTGGGTTAAAGTGTTTTTATCCAAAAAAGAAGAAGGGAGAGCTGAGCTTGCATTTGCCTTGAGATGCATTTATGAGACAGAGCCGGCCTTCAATTTTTTTCCTTTTTTTTTTCCTTTTTGCTTAACAAAGAAAGGTGATAGCACACTTTTGCTGCTATTCCGAACTTGGACACCCTCCAATGCATCCTACAAACACAGAATTATCAGTAACTTCGCCAAAGAAAAGTTACATCACAAAAACACTAAACATGTATCCTTTAATCTGCAAACTGGCTAGCTGGAAACATTCTCCTCAATTTCAAGTATTGGTGCACTAGTTGATAGAATTTCTAATGTTCAGGGCAAGTGCAAGTCAAATAAAAACATATTTTTTCCCAGTCAATTTGGAAACAACCCTATGCAAAAAAGAGGAGGAAGAAGAAAAAAATTCCAGTGAAATGGATCCAAAATAGAAATTTACTTTAGCCATTAAAATAAAGGGTTTTAATTTTCTTATGTCACATAAAATAAATTTTCTCTCCTACTCTCACAACAAATTGTAGGATTCACTTTATTTTTTTTAAAAAAAAGAAAAAAACAGAGTACTGAAATTGAAATCGAAGTGAGAGTAGGAGATAAAATGTGACATAAGAGAAATAAAACCGTAAAATAAATCATGCATGTTGTATTGAAACCAACGAAATGTTTGGATAATTCAGCCAATGAATAATTTTGGATCATATCCATTCACACAGTTTAAATATGTTGTCCAAGAAGCAGAAATTCATTAGAATTAACCATCTAAGATCAAGTAGATAAGCAACATATAGCATCAAATGCTTAACGGGAAGGACCAACTTTTAAATCAATACATCTCAAGATGTTGGATTAGGGTTGACACTAACCTGGTTGTGAAATAGTGAAATCAAAAGAATTACTAGGATCAATATTCTACTGAAATTTGTAAATTTAGAGGGCTGCTAGTGCTAGTATGACACTTTACATCCTCCCCACCCCTCTTTTTATTAATTTTAAAGCTTTTAATTAAATTTTGCAGTCGCTGATCTAGAGGGCTCAATTTATATTGCTATAGTTTCATTGAATCTTATTTTAATACTTAGGTCTTAGTTTGATATATTGATTTTGTATAAATTTTAATAGGTTATTTTTCACAAATTTCATGGATATGGCAATTGTTTTTCATTTCTTCTTTAGCTTATAATTTATTCTTTCAATTTGACACTCCGAGTGCATCATTTCTTCACTATATAGTCCCTCAACTTGACACTCCTTTCTTGACCAAACATCAACATCAACAACACTTATATCCCACAACCCAAAAAAAGGTACGAAAAGATTGTGAAAAAAAACTTTATATATATATATATATATATATATATATATATTATGAGATTATATTTTCTTATGCAACAGGAGATATTTATCTCATGTTGCACTCACAATTTTATATGGGTCTCATTGCACGAAAAAAGAGAAAAAAATTGAAGTGGGACCTATATCTTTTTGAGTGTGTAGGAGAGACTTGTTGTCTCATGTGACATGAGGTTAATATTTCCCATATATTATCCATAGAAAAGCAGTACACAATTACAAGGAAAAATAAATTAAAATAAAATACAAATAAGAATATATAGGAGGGGCGAAAGAGAATAAGAAGGTAAGAAATAAAAAAAATACAAAATAAAAAGATAAATAAATAAAAATAAAATAACATAAAAAGGGATATAGGAAAAAGGAAAAGAAAAACACATAAATAAATATGTAGAAGAAAAAGATTGAAAGCAAAAGTGGAATAAAAGATAAAAAAGAAGAAGAAAGAGAGAGAGGGAGATAAAAAGGAAAAAGGTTAAAAAGGGAGTCTCGACCAAACATCTAAATAATTTTTTCCTTTCAAACCCCTATTGTATTTCCCCTTGAATATTTCCAAGGCCCCATCTTAGCTTAATAGAAAGTATGGGAAGGTGTATGCTAGGAGGAGTTGTAGAGGATTTTAACTTGGGTGAGTCAACATCAGTTAGTTAGAGCGGTAGTCAATTAGTTGAGGATCATATGATGGCTGGTATCAGTATATAACACAGAAAGGAAACACATGGGAATCATTTGGAATCACTTTGGATTGTGGGCTGGAATTTGGAAGAGAACCAAAGCCTCTCGAACTGCTTTGGCTTAGTTTCCACAACCATTTCTCTTTTTGTAATTCCCTTCTACAATTTTCATTCTTGTTGATTGTAAATTTCCTTTTTGAACAAGCTCAATGTATTCACATTGTATTGAAATAAAAGAAGTTGGTTATTTCTTCTGTGTTCTTGTTTAAATCCTTAATTTGAGACTCTTATACTTATCATCAGACCACAAAACCTAATCTTGCAAGTACAATTCATACCACCAAAAAGACACCAAATAGGTCTTAAATAATTACTATCATCATTTTATTCCACCTTTCGCGAATCATTATGAACCTAGCATACTTTTTATTCAGGGTGTTGAACAAGAAGGGTGCGCATGACAACCATCCGAGAATCAATTTTTTTAATTTTTGATATTGGGAACAGAAACAGATAGAAACAACATTTGGTAAAATCGAGGATGAACTGGTTTAATTTTTGTGCTAAGGAATGAAAAAAAGAAACAAATTTTTTTCTTCTCCGTTCCAGGGCACAAAAAGAGAACCACTTTTCTGTTTTTCTTTTTTTCATTCGCAACTCACAACCACCGCAGTCGCCATCGTCCTCCAGTAGATCAGCCGCCATTTCGCCCATGGCAACTTCTGCAAAAACGACACGGTTATATTGTTCCACTGTGCATACCAAGCAATTAAGAAATCCATCGAAGCCTATGTCACCCCGGCCGGTGGCTCCATCGTCGAGGTTTAGCTACCGTTTTCGGTTCATTCCGATGAAGAAATCATAGCAGTGTTCAAAAAAGGGCTCGAGCAAGGTAAACTTAACGAAGGAAGAGTTAGGTTAGCGATAATCGATCACATAACGTCGATGCCTTCCGTTGTTCTCCCCATTCACGGATAGATCAGTGTTTGCAGAGAGCAAGAGGTGGACCAGGTTTTCGTCGACGACGCTCATGCCATTGGAAGCTTGCGCGTCGATGTGAAAGAAATTGGGGCTGATTTTTACATCAGCAATTTGTACAAATGGTTCTTTTCTCCGCCTTCGGTGGCTTTTTTGTACTAAAAAAAAATCGAGTGATGTACACCACCCTGTGGTTTCTCATGAATACGGGAAGGGGTTACCGATTGAGAGTGCGTGGGTTTAACAAACGTAATTATGATTTTCGGAATAAAAATAAAATGTGTTAACAAACGTAATTCTAATTCTCAAAACTCTTCTAAGGCACAGAATTAGAAAAAACTGTTTCATTTCAGAAACAGTGTTGGGGAACAGAATGGTTGTCACGCACACCCGAAGTGTCTAGCAATGGATGCTAGTGTTTCTATCTATGGAGCAATAGGAGAGAGATAACTAGCAATGGAAACTCAGTACCTTTAACCTCTGGTCCGATGGTAAAAATCAGGGGTGTGCGTTTGTGAACACCTGTGGTCAAGTGAATGCTCTGGTTAATGGTGATCTATGAATGCTCAATACATAAGTCATGTCCCTCTAACACTGTACCATCCTTTTGTAGAGGCTTGGTGATAGTTAAGGAAGAGTTGAGTGATCCAGAGCGAGAAACCCATTGGTGGTGATCCTGGGAGCAACGGTGGTGACAGGAGATCAAGAGGTGTAGTCCCACGATCCAGGTTAGGGGGCTCTGACAGGCTGCTCCGTTGAGCCAATTCTCGACATGATTAGGTACAACCTCTAAGCTCCTTGGATGTCTTATGTTGAATAGGGTCTTCATCTGGGAACTCACCCCAGAACACTTTCAATGAATCTTCAATCCCTCTAATTTCCTAGTCTTAACCGTAGCCTTTTAAATCTTAATTCCACTGTCATCCGGTATGAGTTTGGCCACCACAGCACAACCAACCATGCATCTACTACCTCATTTGTTGATGATGTACTCCAAGTAATGAAACTCAACTAAACGATTTTTCACATGATGCGTATGAAATGGAACATGAACAATCATCCGAAAATAGAATTATTCAGAGTAAAAAAGTGAAAGTGATTTGAGTTGCTGATGAAATGAACTCAAAAAAGCTATTAAACCCAATAAAACACTAATTCCAAATCAATGTACTATAATTATCAACTGAAGCAGTTAAAAATCCCCAAATCCCTAGTAGTCATAGATTATACTATCCCAGGAAAATGAACTTCTCTTTGAACCTTTATTCAAGTCCAAAATCCAAACTGCTACCCCAGATAGATTTTATTCAATAATTTGCCAAACAAACATTGAAAAAAAAGTAACTAATTTTGGCAAAAAATAGGTCAATAATAATCACAATTTGACTATTCGATGAAGCATGGCAGGCATTTGAACTTATGATGAATATGGCAGACCTTGCCCTTGACACCCAAAGTTTGGATGGTAGCACCAGAAGTAGGAACTCCAAAAGGTAAGTGAATTTCTGTTGCTGAGGTTTTCTTCCGTGTACTCTCTTTATTATCTACAGGCATGCAACTAAGAATTATAAAGAACTATTATTTCTAAAGAAATAAAAAATAACTGTGGCTTGCCCAATTGAACTGAATTATATAATACAAAGGGATACAACTATTCAGCATACCTAAAAGGTGGAAAACTCCAGAGTTATTGGCAGAAAAATCCGGGTTCTTGATGCTGCAAAAGTAGATGTTTTGAAATATTAAAAAAGCAATCTGTAACTTGTGCCACAATAATGCCATCAATGGTGAGAGTGCATAACACAAAGCAACAGTCCTACACAGCCTCCTCAAACTATAAACTTACTTTTTCGAATCATGGTTACTCGTTTTTTTCAAGGTGGACTTGGTTTCTGATGCTAAATGCCATGAAAGAGTCCTTGAAACAGGGGTACCTAGATACAATAATGCGCATTCAGTTCAATAATGTAATGTGCACTTACTACCAGGAGAACATACGTCAAAACGAAAAATTCCAGAAGGGACAGAATTTTCCCAACCACAGACCTGAAGATTGAAGACAAGTTCTGGTTTGAAATGGATTTTGTCTTGCATCAATCTGTCTGTGTGTACGAGAATGTACATTTTTATTGACAAAACCTAGCTTGCATAAGAGAAACAAAGAGAACCACAAGTAAAAACAAAATCTATAGATCTATATTGTCAAAAAAGTAAAAGCAGTTCAGCGTACTTGGCAAAATGTAGTGCTTATGATGTCTGGGAATGAAAGCCAACAACTGCTGTTTCCGAAGACCTTCTTTATCCGTGTAAGTTTGGCATGTAAGAAGTTTCTGCATATAAGAAAATATGTCATTTCAACTCCAATTGACATTTATCTATCTGAACATGATATCTAAAAAATATTTTTAATTACCTGATTCAGGGTAGAGATCTTCAAGTCCATGGCTGAGACATCCAATGCTTGCTGCTCAAGGGGGTCGGTTATCTTGCAAGCCACAGTTCCAAGATGATCAACAGCATTCACAAGGGCTCTTAAAGCATAATCTTTCATGTTGTCAAGTACCCTGATGTATAAATAAAATAAACCTCACGAGATATCCATGCAGTTCAAATACACAAGAATTATCAGCCAGCAGATTACACGCAAACCTATAATATTAAAGGAATCATTCCTACTATCGCTCCCATGTGCTGTTAAATTAACTAGTTACAAAAATTTCTAGAACAAAAATTCAAGTCATATCCTTTTAAGGATGACCATGTGCCGTATCATCCATTGTCACTAATTTCACTAATGAGACAAAACCATACATTTCATAAATGAGTATAATAAGTGCTCCTGAATATATAGAATAGAGTAGAACACAGACACACACAACTTGCATCTTACATGTTCAGATAGAACAACAAACTGAAAATCTCATTAACAAACAAACACACACAACTTGCACCTTATCATGTTCAGATAGAACAAGAAGCAGAAAATCTCATTAACAAACAAATATCCTTACTTCTGTTTCTGATCACTATGGATATAAGTTTTTTCAAAGCACTCTGCAGCAGAATAGAGTTGAGGCTTCAAGTTATTAAGTTCCTGAAATGACCATAATATGAGGATCAACACTCTGGAATTATATCTCAAATTGTAAACTTTTCATGTGAAACACAGAGTGAAATTAAAAATAAATTTTAATTTGAATAATAATATCCGTAGCGATGAATTGAGAATTTGAATTTGAATAAAACAGTAATAAGACATGCTAATTTAGTTTAGTTGTATTGAGAAATGAGAACCATTAGGAATGTAAAACGGTAGCAATTGTTGTACAAATAAAAAGAGAGATGTAAACAATGAACCTGCAAGGCGAAGTCGAAGCTCTTGCTACGCTCCATGGAGAGCTCGTCGAATGTCGTGGTACGATGTTCCAACACCATTTCTAGTTTCAACGGGAAAAAAAACAACAATGAAAAAAACAACGTTGATTGAAGGAAAATATTAGGTATTTGGTGGGGAAACAGAGAATGATCAAGAATTCGAATTGAAGAGAGAGTGAGTCGCAAGCAAGACCAGTTGTAGAGTTCACTACAAGCGAAAATCACCCAAGCCCATTATTTATTAATTAGTAAATAAATTAATGATTATTACTTTCTTTTAATTTTTGTTTAATGAGTTTTATATGTAGAGAATATTTTATTTGAAAGGCTCGAAATACTAACCAAATCCTGTCATATAAAATACAATTTCTAGGTATCGATCTATATTATGGGCTTTTTTATATTTTTTATCGTAATAGTCAAAGGAATTTACGTCTATTATGTCACGTTACACAAATTTTTTTTTCTACACACACAACATTTTGTGAGGTTCGTAATTTTTAAAATAAAAATAAAAAATAAAATTACGACACGCAAAACGAATCTCTATAACGTTACACAATTATTTTTCTTACAACATAACTCTTATAAAACTGTAAAAACTCTATAAAAATTTCTCGATCGGATAACTTGCTCTAATTAAGTAATTGTTTATCAAACTAAGCAAGTTGATAATGTTTACTTGCCATAGTGACGTCACATGGCATAATCGAATAACATCCTAGAATCAACGTGTTTATTAGATCAGATGCGGTCATGTAGCAGTCATTCCTATTTTTTTTTCTTTTTCCAGGTAAATATTAAATATTAAATAGTATTATAAATAATAAATAATATCTAATTAGTAGGATAATAATTAATATAAATATTATTATTATAAATTAATATTACATGTTTTAGTCAAAAATAATTATTTATAAATAATTCTCATTTATTTGCATGATTTACTATCAATAATAATAATTTGATTATTTATATTTTCTTTCTCTTTTTGTTATAAGAATTCAGATATTTGATATCCATAATTGTTTGATGATAAAATTATTCATTAAATACTACGATCTTGTGCTATAATTTTTTTCATTGGTCAATATACCATATTATTGTTTTACAGTGTATAACAAACTATGAGAAGTTTATGTTTTAAGAGACAAAATAATTTGCTCATTTTAAATACATAGACTTTATAAAATTTATTCGATATTATTATATTATTGATAATAGATTTAAGGGAAATCATTATCTCCTTCTACATGAGATAAGAACTTTTTCCTACACAAATTCGTTTTCCGTGCCAATTAATTTTTCTTTTCTTTTTTAATTTAAAATGTGGAACTCACATTTAACTTATCTCTACTTTTTTTTCTCTCCTACTATCCTACAACATAAGAAAATATGCACCCTAGATTTAATATGTTTAAATTTACACTGATTTCAAAGGTCTGACAAAGATTCTTTACCATATTAAATATTATTTCACTCAGACCCGTTTGGTACGCGGGATTTTTGGAGATTCTCGGGAAACTGAATTTTTTTAAATTTTTTATTTTCAGATATTATCGTAAACTGAATGTAAAAATCATATTTTTAAAAATTGAGATTCCCGGATAAAAAAAAATTTATCCTCTACCAAACGCTCGATGAATTTAATGCTAATTTACAAAAATATCAATAACGTCATTATATGCACTCATAATTATTATTTATGATATTAATTAGTATTTTATAATGTGAAAACCAAAATAGATGTGAAAAAGAAATGACATGATTATGATCGTGTAAAAAATATCACAATCATACAAAATTCGGTACGCGGGATTTTTGGAGATTTTCGGAAAATTGAATTTTTTTTAATTTTTAATTTTCAGATATTATCGTAAACTGAATGTAAAGATCATAGTTTTAAAAATTGAGATTTTCGGATAAATTTTTTTTTCTCCTCTACCAAACGCCACCTCAATGAATTTAATGCTAATTTACAAAAAGATCAATAACGTCATTATATGCACTCATAATTATTATTTATGATATTAATTAGTATTTTATAATGTGAAAACCGAAATAGATGTGAAAAAGAAATGACATGATTATGATCATGTAAAAAATATCACAATCATACAAAATTGAAAACAAGATTATGATCTGTTAATTATTTATTTCAATATTTTTTATCTTTCTTCTTTTATTATTATTAATCTATCTTTGATTATAATTCCCCATATTATTATTATTATTTAGTCGAGAGAATTCAGATCCACAAGGGAGCTACACGTGACCATATCATGTGACAACATATGATAGATACACATGTGACAATATGAGCTAGATGTCTATTGTGTTTGAGTCACACGTATTTACCAAGTGTTGCCATGTAGGCCATAGTAGCCTGGTGACACTGATCCATAAGCATGATCAATTTTATCAAGTTAGTAAATAATATGTGGATATTATATTAATATTTTTTTTAAAATTTCTTATGATATTAAAAAATCCCATAATACATGCTACTTTTAGAATTATTTTTATATTTAAAATTAATTTATTTTACTATTCATATTTTTTAATTATTATTTTGTCAAATATCCAGTGAACTCCGCATAGAGAGAAAGGAGAGAAGAGAGAGAATAAGCAAAAAGAGAGAGAAATGGATCATGGAATTAATTTCCAAAACTGCCTGTCTTTCATATTTACATTTTAAATAAAATAAAATTCTAAATGATTCATATTTTAAATTTTATTGAAATTGCGACAGAGTTCTCCCTATATTTTAACATCTCCAAACAAATCAAATACCCAATATGCAATGTATGCATTACCACCCAGCAACAACAACAGAATATAATTAAGATTTTAAGACTTGATACAATGATTTCACAAACACATTTTTGATGACTGTAGGTTGGTGAGAGTTCCAAATTAAATACAAAGGACTTGTATTGTATCCAAAGGAGGACTACCAAGATAAGCTACATGATGCTCTACAACTCCAGGTCATTTGCTAGTCAGCTACTTGATGATTTGAATAGTGAAATAAAAGAGGGATGAGTCACACAAACTCAATGAAGGCATAATAATTATAATGAATAATAATAGGAAAATTTATACTTAAACAATGAAAGTAATATAAATAAAATTAATAAAATAGGCTTTTGAACAAGAAATTAAGAAAATAGTAAAAAATATCGTTTATATAAAATTCATATCATGTAAATTTATAATGCATAACTTTAACTAATCAGATTGTAAAATACTTGTTTCTCATGCATATGTTATTAAACAATAATCGTACAATAAAACTTGAAATATAATAATAAGAGTAAGATATGATATCATAATTACTATCACTTACATTTTTGCTAAACCTGCTAAAGCACTTTCAATCACTCCGAGAGTAAGGTAAATGAGCTAGTATCTAGTGAAACTGAACATTAACAAATATTTTGACAATGTTTTAAAAATTGATTAAGCATAAACTAACAATATAGGTACTAAGGAGATGGATAAAAACGCAAAATTTATAGGAATACCTACTCAAAACAAATCTATAAAAAAAAATATATTTCCCAATTTTTTGGATGACGAGTTTTTCCCTCTATGAGTTCAAAAAACCAATATTTAAGAAGCATGTTACACCCTTTTCTTATTGAAACATTTTCCTTAAAACCCAAAATTTACTTCTAAGAGAAAGAAAATGGGTATGATTTTGAAGCTTCATAACGATTCAAAAGGATGTTTGGAATTTGGTCAGCAAAAAAGCAAATGAAGATGAAGAAAGAGGAAAGAAGAGAGCTAGATAAAAATATGTAGGAGAAATGTTGAAAATGATGCACTATGTCAATTGAGGTTAGTTAACCTAGGTCTTTGAGATTTTTTTTCTTGAAAAATACCATTTTGCCCCTCCCTCTAACTCAAGATGCGTTTCAGTTTCATCACATTGATAAATAATTTGTAAATATTATATTAAGATTTTTTTAATTTTGATTCTTATGATAAAAAATCCCATAATACGTGTTACTTTTGGAATTATTTTTACATTTAAGATTAATTTATTTTACAACTGAACACATTTTTTAATTATCATTCTCATATATATACTACAAAATTATTAATTATCGACATTAATCAAAATTTAAATTAAAATATCAATATTACTTGTAAATGCAATCATTTAAAAAGTTGATAGTAAAATTTTTAGGAAGTTAAAAGAGCAAGAGGAAAATGAATTAGAATTAGAATTGACAATATTAAAGTACATCATATTTAAATTTGAAAGATAAAAGAAAAATAATAAATTTCAACTCTGAAATAAGTGTATTTTAACTCATAATATCAGTTTAAATTGCAACTAGTATCCACCTAATTAATATATATATATATAAATATTTGTCTTTTTAAATGATATATAAAGAAAAAGACTCAATTTAGTATTTTTATTTTAAATTTAAATTTTAAAATACTTAATTTCTCTCCCGTGATTTCTATTTTTTATGTCTTTCTCTCACTTAAAATGACATAACTCTATGTCTTTTAAAAGGAAAAACACTAAACTCATAAATATATATATATATATATATATATATATATATATATATATATATATATAGGTTTCACTTTTTATACGATCAATATAGATAACTTATCTACATTCACTTTAGAAACATTAAAACCATATATATATATATATATATATATATATAATTTAGATGATGTTAGACATCGATATTCTACCAGGACTAAATGAAACCCTCAACCTCTTTAAGAACTTTTGAAAAGAATTATAGATCGCCTGTGAATAAAATCCTCACATCAACTATCTGTACATATTTAGGCTTCAAGACGTTGAAATATTCAATTTTGTTAACTCTATTTTAGCAGGAAGGTGTAAAATATAAATGTTTTTATGAACTGACTATTAAGAAATAATTTTAAACTCCCAGAATAAAAAAAAACATGATTAAGTGAATACCGTAGCAACGAAGCTAATTATATTTTCGTTAGATATATTTTAAAATTAAATATATAAAGTTTTTCTTTTTTTGTTTTCCTAAAATATTATCCATGCGATAAACGAGACACTAATTTTTGAAGATACAACTAATTTTTTTTGAAAGAAAAAGTTTAAGTCGGGTTAGACACTGGTATTCCACTAGGGTCAAGGAAGACCTTCATCCTCTTTAAGAATTTCTAGGAGGAATTACATATCACCCACCAATAATATTCTCACATCAACGAGCGGAATTTGAAACCATGTCTTTGAAAAATATAGACCAAACCCTTAATCAAGTGTGTCATACGATAGAACTAAAATTTGATATCACACAGTTACAAAGGTTGATATCACACAAACAAGTGCTTATTATTTTTTCAATAAAATAACTACGTTGCATCCCATTTCCGTTTTTATCCTCACTGAATTTGATTAGGACTAGTGAAAAGCAAAAAGCAATATGATAGGAATCTTGAGTGGAATCTGGTGCTGACAAGAACCCTACTAAAAGATCCCATCCATTACATTATTAAAAAGGGAAAAGAATAAGTAAGTAAATAAATATTAATAAAGAAAAAATATATGAGTATCTTCTGACAACCTCCGAGAATTAATCTTAAAGAAAACAAAACATCATATAAATGGGTAATTAAATACAAAAGCTAAAACCTATTATATTGATATCTGAGTAAAGTCTTTACATTTCAGCGTCTTCTTGTGTTCTGTTCTGTCTCTGACCTTTCCCGCCGCCATGTGTGGAATCCTTGCAGTGTTGGGTTGCGTCGATAACTCTCAGGGAAAGCGCGCTCGCATTATCGAGTTGTCTCGCAGGTCACACATTTCTTTTATCTTTATGCTTTTTTCATTCATTTCTCTCTTCATTTGTGCTTTCACTTTATGCAACAGAACAAAAAAACAAAAAAATGCATTTTTTTTAACATTTTATTTTATTAATTTTTTTTTTTTTTTGGTTTAGTATATTATATGTTGATGCTTTTGAAGGATTTCTAGATGCCTGACTATCTTTTATTTCTTAATTAGTTTTTTTTTTTTTTCTAATTTGGTTATGGTTGTTATGGACTTGAAAAATGTAGGTTGCGGCATAGAGGTCCTGATTGGAGTGGCTTGCATTGCCATGGAGATTGTTACCTTGCTCATCAACGGCTTGCTATTGTGGACCCTACTTCAGGGGATCAACCTCTCTACAACGAAGACAGGACTGTTATTGTCACTGTATGTATCTTCATGCCACAATAATTATATAACTTATGTGCATTTTTTGAGAGTATTCATTAGAAAACACATTTTTTATTTTATTTTATTTTATTTCTGGTAGTGCTTAAAGATTCAGACCTTAAACATATACATGTTTGGAATTTGGATGCAGTTACATGAATGCTGATTTACTTGCTTATAATCTCTAGTTTGGTGTAATACTTAATCTGACAACCTAGCAAATTGGATATGTCTAAATTCTTAGGCCAAAAGCCCCAGTACCTGCATTGTTGAATGTCAATGAGAATACTGACATCAAATGCAGTCTTTTTATTTTTGGATATCTCTCGTTGTAGTTGTTGTTCTCACCCTTTAATTTTTATGATATATACTGAACTGGTTTTTAGGTTTTTGCTTATCCTCATACCTCATATTTGCCTTGTTGAAACTATACCATTAGGTAAATGGGGAGATATACAACCATAAGCAATTGAGACAGCAACTGAAGTCCCATCAATTTAGAACTGGTAGTGATTGTGAAGTGATTGCTCATCTTGTAAGTGTTCAAGAATCAGTTAGATTTAGTAATCAATTTACTATTTTTCTGTAAATAATGAAGATTTTCTATTATTGTAATTCATTATCATGTCAGTATGAAGAACATGGAGAAGACTTTGTTGATATGCTGGATGGGATATTCGCCTTTGTCCTTCTTGACACTCGAGATAATAGTTTTATTGCTGCTCGTGATGCTATTGGAGTTAACTCTCTTTACTTGGGCTGGGGTCATGATGGTATGTGGCTTCACCTTCTTCTTGTTGTAACATTTTACAATTTCACTTCAATCTGGGTGGTGTCTCGAGCTGAGCTATCTATTGCTCAATTTAAGTCAATTTGAGAAGCATGAGTTTGTACACAGTGGATGCACATATGCTAACTGTATTTTCCATAAAGTGAAATAAATCATGAAATTCGTGCCATCTCAGTGGCTCCTAGTTTCCAACAACTGAACTCTCGGCTTTATGTAAGAGCTACTATAGAAATTTGAGAGTTTCAGCTCGATACATTTTGCATACAATTTTACATATACTTGTGCATTTGTAGTATAACTAACACTATATTAAGAAATTTGATGTTGTTTACTCAAGTGAAGTTGCTAAAAATTGACAGTACTTTGCTAATTTCATATAAATTATGGCTAAATTCTGCATGACATCTTTATGCAAACATTAGGATGACTTTGTTATATCCACCACTGCTGCTCACATTTTGGAACATAGTCTTGTTTTTCCAAGGCAAGTAAATGAAGCATCTCTTTCTCTCTCTCTCTCTCTCTCGCACACACACACTCGTCTGTTTTTTATTATGAACTTGCATAATTTTTGGTTAGAAATTTAGATTTACCTATTCACTTGGGTATATGTGGCTAATTCAACTGGGCATGTTTGTTCTTGTATTATTATCACATGAATGAATCAGATGTATTATCTATGAAGGGCTGATTTATTTGCAGGATCAACATGGTTTGCGTCTGAAATGAAAGCTCTGAGCGATGATTGTGAGAGATTCATATCTTTTCCTCCGGGGCATATATATTCCAGCAAACAGGGTACTGATAATGTCATTTGTTCTATTCTCTATTTATGACTCTTGTAATTCCCTACATTTTAGATATCCTGTTAAAATTTGTTGTATTTGCAGGAGGATTGAGAAGGTGGTACAATCCACCATGGTACTCAGAGCATATTCCATCAACACCCTATGATCCAATGATGTTGTGTGAGGCTTTTGAGAGGGTAAACTACAATTGTCTTGTCTGTCTACTCATTTCCCCACTTTGAGATGATTCTTCCCAATGTTGAAAGTGCAGTTCTGCTGCATTTGCTTAAAAAATACTTCAAACTTCTCCAGCTCGCCCTGAAACTTTAAATGTTCAAAATCATCCTCACATGTCTTATCTGTGGCTATCATATCATTTTCTCAGGAATCTAAAACCATTAAATTTCCTTGGGTTGAATTCAGGAAAAAGTCATAGTGACCAAAGGTTAAGAAAAAAAAAAACACATCCTGAAATGAAACTTAGTGCCCTTTTGAGAAAGTATACTTAACCTCTGGAGGAACATAGGTGCATTGTTGCATCATCGGTATCAGTTAAATCTTATGTCCAACTACAGAATAAGGGGTAGCAAGATCTTAGTGAGCTTAGTTGTGGAAGATTTGCATGCACTAAATTATTCGACACACAACTGATGTGTGAGGACAATAATAGCTCAGGAGTGGTAGTGATATTAATATAGTAATAGTTTGTGAAGGAGAATGATCCTTTTGTTCTTTTTCACTTTTTAGTGACTTCCTTTGGCGTACTGGAGTCACATACTAACTGATAGCACAGCTTATTATCATAACATCTCTTTTAACTCTTTTCTTTGTTTACCTGTGATATCATGCAGGCTGTATTAAAGAGAATGATGACTGATGTGCCTTTTGGAGTTCTTTTGTCTGGAGGACTTGACTCATCACTTGTTGCTGCTGTGGCCAATCGTTATTTGGCTGAATCTGCAGCTGCTCATCAGTGGGGATCACAGTTACATACTTTCTGCATTGGTTTGGAGGTCAGAATTTATTCCTCACATTTGGCGAGTTGTGTTATCCTTTGTTATGATCCCTAGTAATAAAAGCTGAGTCAGCAAATGGTTAGTTATGGGAATACTATTCCCTATGGTTAGTTATGGGAATAATATTCCCTTTTTTCTGTTAGGCGTGTGTTTTGTGAGGTGAGGTTGAAGTGACTATATAGAGGGAGGGAAGTTATTGTAAATGTATCTTTGGGAAGTATTGGGATCCTTTGGGATATTGGGAGAGATCCCTGAGCCTCTCGAATTGCTTAGGAATATCTTTGTTTTCTTTTATTTTCACATGTTAATTCTTAATTACTTGTAATCTGTCTTTGTTTGTATCACAGTTCTATTGTTAATGCAAGACTCATATTGTTCTCTTCTTAATTCTTATATTTTTCTTGGTTGATTCCTATCATCCTTCTTCTTCAACGTTTGGAAAGTAGTATATTAGCTTTTATATGCTTCAAGATTTGACTTTTCCACCATTCAGGGCTCTCCGGATTTGAAAGCTGCAAAAGAGGTAGCAGATTATCTTGGTACTCGTCACTACGAACTTCATTTCACGGTTCAGGTGACCCCATCTCTCATTGTCTCTTCATTTTATATTTTTCAAATGAGACTTTTATTGCTACTCAGAAGTAATTTTTTTTATTTTTGCTATATCAGGAAGGTATAGATGCACTTGAAGAAGTCATTTATCATATTGAAACATATGATGTAACGACTGTCAGAGCAAGTACTCCAATGTTTCTTATGTCCAGAAAAATTAAAGCCCTGGGAGTGAAAATGGTTCTTTCTGGAGAAGGTTCAGATGAAATATTTGGAGGTTACCTGTATTTCCATAAGGCACCTAACAAGGAAGAGCTTCACGAAGAAACATGTCGAAAAGTAATATAAAATAATCTTTGTAATCTTTTTTTTATTTAATTTGCAAAGCTATGTGTTCTTAACTTGTTAGGTTCTTTCTTTATCTCTTCGTTCCTTGTGAGTAACTGTTTATTCAAGTTTTTTATGGCTTTGATGATTTGACAGATTAAAGCTCTTCATCTTTATGATTGCCTGAGAGCCAATAAATCAACTGCAGCATGGGGTGTAGAGGCACGTGTACCATTCTTGGATAAAGAATTTATCAACATAGCCATGAGTATGGATCCGGAGTGGAAAATGGTATTTTATGTTTAATTTTTCTCTTTGTTCCTTTTATCATGCTGCATAACAGCTCTAGTCTGTTTTATGATTGGATTGCTTGCATTGTTGATTGAGTTTGTGTACCTAAACAAATTCAAATGCCATGTTCAACTTCTTGCTTTAGTATAAGTATTCAAGTTTGCTTCTTTTGGTTATCTTGTATCGTGTTCTTCTTGTTAATCCAGTCCTCCATCTACTCTTTTAAGACGAGGCAATTGCCCCTGGCGTATAATGTTGCTTAACGAATAAAGCAGGTCCATGGACAGTTCTAACCATAAGTCTCTATGAAATTGATTTTATAGGCATGTAAAGTTATTCTTATTTGACTTCATTTTTCAATTACATTATGGGATTTATGACAAATTGCACAGATAAGGCCTGATCTTGGAAGGATAGAGAAGTGGGTATTACGCAATGCATTTGATGATGATAAGAATCCATATTTACCAAAGGTTTGTATCAACTTCTGCATCATGCTTATTCTTATGTCTTTAAGGATTTCTGAAATACTTATTCTTTTCTCCTCTCTTTTTTCTTAGCACATATTGTACAGGCAGAAGGAACAGTTCAGTGATGGTGTCGGGTACAGCTGGATTGATGGCTTGAAGGATCATACTAACAAACAAGTTGTCTCTTATCTTTTCCCACGTTGAACTTTATTTTTTTATGTAATGCCACAATGTTCTAATTAACGTTAAAGAATCCCATTAACGCTATCCTTTGTATGTGTTCTTTTTCCTCTTTATAAATGGCCAGGTCACAGATGCAATGCTGATGCAAGCCAACTTCATTTACCCTGAAAACACTCCTACTACAAAAGAGGCATACCACTACAGGACAATTTTTGAGAAGTTCTTCCCAAAGGTGGATTCTATAATATATATATATATATATATATATATATATATATATATATATATATAATATGAGTTTATCGTTTCTTCTGTCACAGATGATAAAATTATTTCCTGCAACTTCAAAACTACATCGTTTTGAGAATTTGAGGAATTAATGAAGGGTGTTGTAGTAAAATTCATATAATAAATAAACAAACAAAATTGTCAGAATACTCTTCATTAATTCTCCAAACTCTCAAAACGACATAGTTTTGAGATTGCAAGAGATAATTTTATTTCATTGTAACAGAAGAAACGATAAACCTATATATATATATATATATATATATATATTACACATTGATTGGTTTGTCTACAAATTAAAATCCTGCCAAAACTCTCTCTGATTATGTTGAACCATTTTAACAGAATGCTGCTAGGTCAACAGTTCCAGGAGGTCCTAGTGTGGCATGCAGTACTGCAAAAGCTGTGGAGTGGGATGCAGCATGGTCAAAAAATCTTGACCCTTCTGGTCGTGCTGCGATTGGTGTTCATGCAGCTGCATATGAGGATGAAGTTGATGTGAAAATAGCCGAGGCTAAAAACGGATCCATTTAAAGGCCCATGATATGGATGGTTAAGGAAAAAAAAAAATGCTACCACTTTCTGTGGGAATTTAAATTCAATTAGTTGAAAATGGAACTATTGAAGTAGGAGTGGGATTGTTTATATTTTTCACACATTAAGTACTACGATATTTTTAGGCTTTAGAACTCCACAGCAGAGTAAGGTTATGTTTCATGCTTCTTGTAAACATCTTTCTTCTAGTGCATTTACGTTCTGGTCTTGCAGAATCGCAAATTAATAAATAAAATAAAATAAAATTGGGACACAGGGTAGTTTTAGTTTTTCTTTCCTTTGTCTGCTTTTGAGAATGCAAAAACAAAAATAAATATGCTCCACTTTATACATATAGGCTTGGTAAATATTTACATATATGTTTGCTTCTTAATGGATACATGATTGGATACATAAAAATTCTCCATTACATTGTCTATGAACTTGGCATTGCTCACTAGAGGGATAGTGACCATTCAATGAAATGCTAACTGCAAGCCATCAGCATATAATTCGCACCAGGTAAATAATATTTACCATCGACATATTCCAGGTAGCTCTGTTCTGCTTAGTGCGAGTACTTCCTCATATTTTGAAGCATACACAAAGCCCCACAGCTGCATAGATGACACAGACTAATTAACTTTGTTCTTTTATAAATGCTTTTAAAGGTTGAAGAAAGGTGGGGTGTGTGTGTGTGTGTGTGTGTGTGTAAGGAGAAGCTTCATGTGCACCTCTACTTCCTTCACTTCAAAGTCTTGAGAATTTGCAAGGCAAGGATTCCCATAAGTTTCTGAGGTCGAACTTGAGCCATTCAATCTTTAAGTAGATGTCATGAATTTGGTGGTTGTTTAAAAGAAAACAAAAAATCAAAAACCAAACTCATGCTGATATTGATACAAGACAGTGATGAAAGTAAAAAGTCCTTACAAATCACCATCCAAATAGAGTGCAAAATGGCCTCCCCCACCAATTGCTAAGAAGTCAGTGTTACAGAGTGTAAAATAGCGGTTTACCCCTGCAATTTTTGTGGTTAGTCCAGTATAGCTAGTCAAGCGAAGCAGCATTTGGAATTCCAAACCAAGCCAGATATTCACTCTATGAAATCATGTGGGTGGATAGAGTGCTAAAATGGAGACCACATTATATTCGTGTGATTTTAGCTCTATAGAGTATAGACTGCTTTTGTATCACACTTCTTTGCATTTCAAAACTCAAGTCTTAAGTAAAGCCTGATGCTGATGCTGAAAGTGAATCATACACAGCATAACCATTGAATCTCAAATACACGTAGTGTGGAGGGAGGGCATTAAGATACAAGTTCATCAACTTCTTGAAGACTGGAACTCAGATTTCAATTTTCCATTATTCTACTTAGGGCAACTGTTAAACATGCCAGAAAATCATCATTTTTAACAATTTCTAGATATTTTTCAGATGAATAGGAAATTATCACGGAATTAAAATTATATCTCAAACAACTAATCACTGAATATAGCAGACAAGATTCCGGCATTTAGATAGATAGCAAAACACAGTATGATTATAGCAGCAAAAGAAAAAAAAAAGAGTGACATGCTCAAACTCCAATGGAAGTAGATACCTGTTGGACGATATATAACAGGATGACCAGAGGTATTTGTGAAAACAAATGTATTGTTTGTTCCCTGAATAAAATCTATTGTCAATAAAACAAAATAACAAGTACCATTATTCCAGGATAAACCAACAAACAGTATTTTGCTGGTTTATCAGTCTATCGGATAATCCATAGGATAAATGAGTTTTGGCAAGACCTGGTATTTTCTCTTGTTGGATGGTCTTAGAGGTGCTTCCACCAAGCTGCCAAACACTGCTCCTTTTCGATCTCCAACAACCTAGAACGGAATAACTAACATTGAGAACTAATCCATGATTGAAAAATGTAGAAATTAGCCTTACAGTTTAAAGAACAGAATAATGGATATATCTACATTCCCTCAGAAAAGACTAGAAGAAGAGAGTGAGCTAATCATAGTAAAGAATTGGAATTACCAAGATATGGATGTACAATTAGATAGTATAAACTTGTTTAACCAACAAGCTTACAAACTAGGACTTCAACATGTAGACATTTTAAACTACTACATGCTACAATTAATTATCGTGTCAAAACTCCACGGGAGTGGATCCTCTCATATGTCAATTAACATGACCATATAATGTGGAGGAATTATAAATAACCATACAAAAGTGGATCAATGGTGATAAGGGAAGAGAGAAGAAAAATATTGGGATATATTACAAAATCATCACGTTGATTCACCTTTATATGGTTAGGATCCTCTCACGTGACATGGTTATGTTAAATAAAACATGAGAGGATCAATTTCCAAACTCAATACATAACATGCGAACTCCATTTAGTGTTTAACTGTTATTTTTATTTTCTTTTTTTCTTTTTCCAATGCAGATCAGACTTAGATAAATGCATGATTAAGATTAATATCTGCTCAAGGATAATAAACTGTACCAACAAACTCAATCCAGGCCAAAGCATGCTTCTCCTGTAAAGAGTTGAAAGTGATATACCATGCCTCCAAGTGCTGCAGAAATTGCAGAGGTCATAGAAGAAATTATAATAATAATAATATTAACAATAATTAATTATCAATAGCAAGATTTCGGAAATTCAGAACATAATAGACAGAATCTTGTTTCTGCCAATGAATCTTCATCCACAGATACCTGTACAGCAACATCCATTTCCTTCCTTGCATAAGAGGTGGAAGAGAAGCATAGAGAACACTTCTTAAACTGTCTGAAAGGAAAACTGAAGGTTCAGAAATTTCTGGCACATCAACCAAAGGCATAGTACGCACTGACTCTTCCACAGGCTCAATATGATGAACGCCAGAAATTTTAGAACCATGCCCATCATCAAATTTCATTTCAAAATTATCCTTCCGATCTTGATAGCGAAATCCACCAATTCTAGCAGCTTGGCGAATAGCTCTACCAAGTGATTGCTTACTTCTAGAAAACAAACTTTTCTTCCCACTATTTTCCTTCAGGGATGAATCTGGTAAAGGGTAATCAGATGCAGCTTTATCATCATCTTTTCCATGTGGCTTTGCATTATCTCCAGAGTCTGAGGAAGACAACAGAGAATAGAGGAATGCAGTGAAGGATGAAGTATCAGGCTCATCAACTAAATCATGGCTACCCTCTTCATCAGTTGTCTCTGATTCACTTGTTTTTGATTCACCTACTTCTTCCTGAGAGATGGAAAATAGAGTCACCACCTTAACTTCGATTTAAAGCAAAATATGCCTTGAAAAAACCTTAACTTTAAGAAGGGTTTTTGAAAAACAAAAACAGAACCATAAACTAAAACATAAGTAGACATGAACCTCGTACGGGAACAAAAAAGAGAATAGTAAGTGCTAAGGATTAAATTGAATTTGATAAATAAATAAATAAATAAAAAAGGGACCTTTTTGAGAGACAAGATAAGATGGGTTGAGAATAAGAGAGAGAACTTACAGAAGGAGGTGAAGGTGAAGGGTTTTTGGAGGGTTTGTGATTGTGAGTGTCAGAATCAGAGATGGGGTTGAGAAGGACAGATACAAAATTGGTAGCTTTGGTGCGCAAAGATTGCTTCTTTCCCATTTCTAGTTATGGAAATATGAAACCTGGTATTCAACAATAACATGGGATTTTTAGAGAGACAAGACAACTAAGTAATAGTGTTCTTTGTCACCACAGCTCTCAGATTATTGTGCCACCAAACTATGCAAATGCAGACTCGAAGACCAGAGCCTATTTTTATTTTTTTTGGAAATAAAAGACCAGAGCCTTGACTTGATCCCTCAGCATTGCAAAGCACGCCATGGTCAAGCAGGTGAATCAACAATTTGGTAAGTAATTAATATTTAATTAAAAGTTTTTAGGATAATTGATGAAATTTAGACTGCATGGCCCAATGGATAAGGTGCTGGTCTACGGAACCAGAGATTTTGGGTTCGATCCCCAGTGGAGTCGCTTGTTTTCGTAAATTCAATTTGATCCTTTATACATGTAAATTCTTTTAAATATAATGTTAAATTTTTCATATAAAAAACATGAATATAATATGTATTTTTCTCGTAAAAACATTGTCATTAGATTATATTGAGGAGATATGGACATTAGATCCAAAATATTTGAATTACTACAAATTTTTTCCTTGGGTATTTTTTATCATATAATTAATGATCACCCTCTTAAAATTTATAAAAATATTTAATTGTAAATGTAATTTTTATTTTTTTATCATATAAAAAATTATAATTTTACATTATAATTTCGCCCTTTAACTCCCCATATTTAACCAACAACCCAGATGGATTGCTGAATTGACTCTCTTTTTTTTGCTGATTATTAAAATGAGTCCTATGGGTTAACTTATTTTATACTTAACCCATGATGAAATAATCCGAGCCGAATTAGAACATTTTAACAGTTTTAAATTTTTAATAGTTGAGGAATATACCTTATCGTTTTGGGGCTTCCAAACGCGTTAAAAGATGAAAGGGACTAGAGAATAGAACGATGCAACATGACTAACTAGCTATTTGTCATACAATATATATTCAATGGAGAGGGTTATTTTGACTTCTACTCCCCGTCTCAGTTGTTGATGAATAGAAATCAACAGTTATCATTTACAGTGTAATTAATAATTAATTAATTAATAATTTTTTAAACTATAATTGTTGAATGGATCAAAATATCGAAATTGACAGTGTATCAGGACTCCATGGCCCAATGGATAAGGCGCTGGTCTACGGAACCAGAGATTCTGGGTTCGATCCCCAGTGGAGTCGTCTATTACATATATATTTTTCTTGTATGTTGGTGTGTCGAAATATTGCAAATTTATTAAATTGGGGTGATATGAACATTGCAATTTTTCAAAATTTATAGTCATGCGTTTTAAAGGAATATACTCTATCTATCATTTTGGGCCTTCCAAATGCGTTAATGGAAGAAAGGGGAACATTTAAAAAAAATTGTGTCGTTCTGAGGACCCTGTTTCCTGTAGGTGAAGTGCCTCTTTGGAGTCAGACTTTTAAGAGAATCATGGAACGCCGTGGTGGTGTTTTGCAAAGAATAAAGTTTGGAAGATTGTTCCACTCCCAAGTACAGGCAATAGCTGGATCAAACAGGATCGTCCTTGACTATTCAACAAAACTATAAATATAATTGAAGTTTTCATAACATGTTTAGCAGGGTGGGGAAAAGGGAACGCTGAAACGCTGTCCAGGCACGACCAACTTCATTTTTCACCATTTAAATGTTAAGACTGAGTTATGCCACGTTCATAGTTGAAAAGTGGAAAAACCTAAGATGCTGAAAATAGAAAACACAGACCCTTCTACTTAAAAACATGGGAGTTCAGACTGATTTATAGAATGCCTACGTGAAATAGGGTAAGTTTAAATATCATAACTTAAACCAAGGCAATGCTGCTTTCTCCACCAGGGGGTTTGCGGGCACCTCGGACAGGATCTTTGGTTTCTGGCTTTCCATCAGCAAATATGTCACTGCCAGTCATTTCCCTCAGTTTAGCCCTGCTCAGAGGCTTTTCCGCTGATCCTGGAGGAACATTTCCTTGGAAAATATTATTCCCTGTCAGCTCCGCAAACTTCTGGTCATGTATCTTCTTTGATGTCTTCGTTACGGGTGCTTCACCAAATAAGATATTACTTTGGCCACCTGCAGGCTACAAATATAAGAAGAGGAATGTCAAAATGCAGTCATAAACAATGGGGCAATATGACATTATGAGCACCTGAAGAGAACCACGAACAGAGCAAAAAGCTTTTTCCCACTGGGTGGGACCTAAAGTGAACATTAAAATGAAATGTTGAGCTCAAAATGCAGCAGTTACATTGCAGGAGGAGGAAAAGACACATGAACTAAGTTAACAACGTATAAAAGTAATGAACTGGACTACATCTTATTTCAGAATAAATGATTTTGCCATTACTGTAAAACCAAAAAAATATAAAAACTAATTTCAGAATACAAAATCTAAAAGGAATAACACTATTATGGACACTTTAAAGACAATGAGACAAACTTACGGATCTTCTCAATGCAATGCATGAGCTGTTTGGCTTCATATCAAATTGACAGGCTCATGATTTTGGAAAGGGAACAAAATTATGGTATAAAATTTTAATATATCCAAATAATTGGTAGTCCTCAAGAGCTGCAGTTGTATTATAATTATCTCTAGCTATTATTACCTTTGAGTATTAATAAATAAAATTCTTACCAAAAAAAAAATTCAGAATTGATCTACATTTGAATTTTGCATTTTAGGAAGCATAAGGTAATATTGGTGGACCATCAAAGGTCAAAATTTATTACCAGTAAGAACCATTTAGATGTTACAGGCTCACTAGCACAGAAGCTTAACTTAGTCCACATTGATAACCATGTTATAAGAAAGGATTACACAGTAATCTAACAATTCTTTAGCCATTCATCTAATATAAAAAGATAGATGACAATTCATTTTAATTCCTGGAAGACACTTACATTGGAAACTTTAACTGAAGTTCGCACATTTCTGGGAAGAGGTTCTCCCATGTCTTTACTTTCCTTTGATTCCAAAGTGCGTGCAACCGCCACTGAACGAGGCACATTTTCAGAAGGAGGGCCAAATATGTCATTTCCACTGAGCTCCTTGGACTTGGCATTTGATACGTGCTTCTTATTCTTTGTGTCTGATTCACTTTGCAATGTCCCGCTCAGTTCACGCTGCTTTGCTACCTCTGGTATAGAGGTAGGCTTCTTAGGAGAAATGCTTTCTTCAGTGCTGAATGATATCTGACTAATTCCATTCAGTGCTTGCTGAGATGAAATGCAGTCGCAGGGAAAACAAAAGAAAACAAGAAAATTGTTATCACAATGGAGTTTGATTTGATGTTTGAGAAATGTTCATAGGGTCAAATAGAAAAACCCAGACCAATGAAATTATCTAAACTCTAAAGAATACCTGACATATGCGTATGCTTGTTCTGTTATTTGAATTTGCAGAATTGGCTTCTGGTGCAGAATCTTCGCCATTGTCCGAAAATATACCACTTCCAGTCATCTCTTTCATTTTATACCCTGAGCAAGGTTTGCTAAGAGCAGCAAATGGAAAGATACGTTTGATAACAACGTTAGACAAAAAATGAACTTTCGAAAGTTAACTAGTATGCAACATCTCCTAGCTTAGATTAACCATTTTCATGACAAAAAATAACCCGCAGTTCCTGAAATAGATACTGCAGCATACACGCATATGAAAAACACTTTCTACTAATTAATAATCAAAGCATCCAATTATGCCAGAAACATAGGTTAACAATAACAAAAACGTGGAACCTGTTATAGGATAGACAGTTAATTAATCAAGCTTAAGACACAAAATAAATACTTCATTTCAAGCTCAACCAGCAAATATTACTAACTTAATTGAAACATATAAGATATTGAACAACACATTGTTCTTGAGCAAATAATCCTACCTCATAAATCTTAATAGATGCCAAAGAAACTAACGAGTTTACCGAAATCACAAATTACAAAACAGATCGATGCAGACAAAGAAACATGTATTGAATCAGATCGAAGAACAAAAAAATCCAAATTAAATAAACTTAAATAAAAAAAAATGAAAGGAAAATAAAAAACACAAGCAGATCTGATCTGAATCCGGAATGCAGATTCAACAGACAGAGAGAGAGAGAGAAGAAGAAGAAGAAGAAGAAGAAATGAATGTTGTACCTCTTGGCTAGAGTCTGAGCTTCTTCATCGGTGAGCTGGCCGCCATGGAGAACCTTGCTGATTCTGTCGGAAGGCTGTGATGTGAATGCAATGAGAGAGGGAGAGAGAGAGAGAGTCATTAGCTACATGAGAGAGAGAGAGAGAGATCGAAGAAAAACGAGAGTTAATTAATAGTAACCTGGCGAGAGCGGTTGCCGGAGGCGGAGACGGTGGCGGAGGATTCCGGCGTAGGAACTTCCGACCATGTGAGGAGATCGGAGGTGGAGGTGTGTGGCTTTCTCACCGGCGTGCTTCTATGCATTCTCTTGCGTTTTTTGTGTTTGTGTTTGTGTTTAGGTGTGAAAGTAAATGGGTGGGAGATATTAGATACTGATAATATTTGAATTGAAATTTATTTTTAAATAAACATAAATTACAAAGTCTCATATTATTTGGAGATATACTCTTTGGACATTTTGAAACTCTGCTCCATGTGGTCGACATGTGTCACTCAATGGCAATTGCTAACTATTAGAATATGCTATCTCACACTGATTCCTGAAAATGAAAGAAAAGGAACTAAAAACAAAAATGTAATATCTTCAATTGAGATATGTGATCAGAATTATCCAATAAAAATTGACAATAAATGAATTATATATATATAAAAAAAAATCGTTAACTTTTTCTATGCATTTTGTGACATTTATGTGTAATAGTGGGTCGAATCATTTTATTCTTTGTGTGTTTAAAATTTCAATGTCAAGTTCATCTCAATAAATAAATAAATTTCAATATAAATTTAGTAATGTAATCTAGTATTATAAATATTTACTTTAAAAATTGTTATGAGGGCTATGCTTCTTATTATAGGAAGCATTTAAGATTTATATGAATTGTGTATACATATATAGAGAGATACATGTTATCTGCTTCTAGGATATTGGACCTCTCTGCACCAACAACAAATGGCAGTATCTAAATAAATGAGGTAGCTTAGTTGTTCCCTTCTTATAATGATAGTATATCTGTCCATATTACGAAAAGTTGTATTTACAAATACAGCTAACAATTTATTGTCTTTTATGCGTGTTCTTAATTATCTTCTCCTAACAATCAAATATAATTTGTACTTTATTTTTTGGTAAAAATTATTATCTACATTTTACCAGTTAGGGTGTTAACGGGTCGAGCCGAGCCGAGCTTTGGTCTTAAAAGATTAAGCATGCGTTTAAATATGTCAGCCTGACCTAGCCTGTTACCTGTTACGAATATAATTATCGGCCCTGACCTGTCTTATTTACAAAAAATAAAAGCATGATTTGACCTGTTAGTATGTTTAAAAAAATAATAAGACAACAAAAATTTATCCAAACAGAATATAAAATCAACAGCACTAGTAATTCCATAAATATTCATAAATTCAATGTATATCCAAACAGCGTAATATAGAACAAAATTATTCAAAAAATCCGTTTAACCAAAAAAATGGGGTGAAATGGATTGAGGAGAGAGATGAGACTATTACAAGTAGTATAAAAAATAAAAAATAAAAATAAAAATTAATATACTAGGTCGGCCTGAGAGGTTCCAAGGCCGAGCTTTTGAATTGGAGCCTCAGGCCTTTTTGTTAAACGAGTTTTTATACAAGTCCAAGTCTGGTTCTAATAACCAATTTCAAACATGTAGGTTCAGGCTTTCACGAGCCGAGCCAAAGCCCCTGGTTTGTTTACCACCCTTATTACCAGTCGACCAAATATTATAACAACTCTCCCAACATCTGTTTGTATCTAATATAAATAATAAATATATGAAAATTTTATTTTTTAAATTAATCATGAAGTAAGTTGTGTCTTTTTAGTTTTTTACTCTATGTACTTCCGATAGTACATAGTTATAACATGAAAAGATTTTTTTTTCATTTTTCACGTCAACTGATACGACCGAGGAGAGAGAAAAAAGGAACTTTTCATGCTATAACTATATATTACTTGAAATACATAAAGTAAAAAAATAAAATAACATAACTCATAGATTCGTTTTTTCTACAGTCAATGTAGATAACTTATCTACATTGAGCGCAAAATGACATCGTTTTGGGCCGAAATCAAGGTATTTTTATAATTATAATTTATTTCAAGGTTATAATTGTCTTTCTTCTTTTAATTTTTTAATCTTTCAACCTACAACGATGTCGTTTTAGGAATGAATGTAGATAACTTATCACATTCACTATAGAAATATTAAAACTTAACTTATATCCTTTAAAAGCATAAATAGTATTCCCTTAGTTTAATCCTTGTATTTATTAACTGCATCACCAAAAGCCAAGCTTGGAAAATTATATTGCATAACAAAAGGAAAATTTCAGAACTAATATCATTTGTAGGTGTTATTAAATGTTTAACTTTGATCAATTACTATTGCACAATTGTAGCCAAAAATTCTTCTAGGTAAAATTGAACTTGTACCAACTTACAAAGTAATGTCTTAAAATTGAGGGAAGGAACCGTTGCGATACAAATTTTTTTTATTTAAAAAATGTTAAGATTAAGGGATTTATTATTCTTATGTTACATAAGAAAAAATTATCTCCTACACACACAAATTCAAGATGGATCTCACTCTACTTTTTCTCTCTCTTTCCTTGAATTAAAATGGACCCCACTTATACTAATATAAATGAGTCAGTAGGAGATAATTATTATCTCCTACTACATGAGAAAACTATTACCCTAAGATTAATGTTGTTTTTTAAATATATTTCCAATCTAACGAAGTGAGTTCCGTATGGAATATGTGAAACCAGTGTTATTAAACCTAACCCGACCATCGACCTGGTCGGGGTACTGGGTCAATGGTCGGACTAGTGGATCACAGGTCGGACCGGTTGATCCGGATATATATAAATATATAAAAATATATATAAATATGAATATATAAATTCAATTACATTTTCTATATCTAAAATGAATTAAACAATATTCACTAAATAAGCTAAAAAAATGAAGCATAAATAAATAAAAATATACGCTATTACTATGTTAATTTAAATTACAACCCAGAATCACTATAAACATACCTCTCAATGATATTGAACTCGTATTTTTCAAATTCAACTACATTGATAAAATGACATATGTCACATTCTCTTAATTTATTATTCTGCAAATTACTTCAGTATTGGAAGCTGAAATTTGAGGTCATTGTAGAAGAGTATACTAGCAAATAAAATTACAAAATTCTTTTAAATTGAGTTCTACATTTTTTTTGACAAGATGAAACAATTTTAATTTTTTTTAAAAAAAATCATGACCGAACCGGGTCACCGAGTTTGGCCGATTTTGATCGGGTTTGACCGGATCGATGTATAACCGGTCCAATACTTGACCTAAACCGATCCTATGACCAGTTCACTGGATTTCGGATCGATTCGACCGGGTTTACAATAGTGTGTGAAACTACTCCTGCATGAATCAGGGGTGTTTGATATCAAGCTTTTGTTTAGAATGATGGGAAAGTGGGGTGGACAATGTTTTTTGTCTATGTTTAGTATAAGGTATCCTGATTTATTCTCTGCAAAAAAATTATCCAGTCAATCCATATTTACACTAAGCACCGGAAAAAAAGAATTCTTATTAGCTTATGGTATTTTTTTTTTGGCCCATGTACTCTGATTGTGATTCAAACGAATTAAGACCATAATGCACTCGAGTGCTATATGCACATGTAAATAAATACCACATAGAAGCATAATTTAGTCATTATGCTTCAAAATCCTATTAATATTTTACCATCAACCAAACACAATATCAGTAAAATTAATTCAATTTTTCAGTATAATTTTGACATACCAAACATTTTTTCATAACTTACCTCGACAAAAATATTTACCACCATATTTCTAGAAATCTTTTTTTCTGGTAAAAAAAAATATCTCCTATACTAAACACCCTCAAATATAGAGTTGTGGAATTAGTCGTATATTAATAGGGTGCAAGACTAGTTTCATGTGATACTGATACGATTCAACAGGTCGCACATGCGAGATTAGTGTTTCGTGGTACTATACTTGCGAGCATATGACATGACATGTGATAGTAGTGCACACCCCATATAAAATCAGTTCCAAATTCCCCATGCGGCAAAAATTAAAAAATAAAATAAAATCAATCTGACAAATTCTTTTGTTTAATTTGCATTATGACGATTACTTTGCCCTTAAAACTGTTTCATCAATGAATAAAGTTACTTTCAATTTAACCACAAAAAAGTCACTTTTAATTTTAATAATTTTTTATTTAATCTCAGTGAGACTTTTTTTAGATCGAAGTCAACTGTGAAGGTAATTAATTTATTTGCGATTATTATAACCGTGTTATAAATGTATTTGGAAAAAAATATTCTGAGATTAAATTATGAAATTCGTTTTTTATTAATAACTATGAGCATATATGTATACTGAAGTATATGAGAAAACGCAGTTTTTTTTTTTTTTGTTATTTTTGTTTGATATTTGAATGTTTTTTTCTTGTCCCAATATGAACATCATAAAAAAATTAAAATTGATCATCATACATAACTAAATGTTCCTGCATGTCATATTTTAATTTAAACTTATTTTCATGTGAACTTACTTTATGATTTATTACTGGCAATAAATTGTTTAGGTTCAGCGTACACACATCCCAAGCTTTGCCGACACGGAGATTTAACAATTGTGATAGAGTCTAATTAGTATTATAGAAATAATCTATCATATATGATAATCATATATACAATTAAACCATCAAAAAAAATAAAATAAACAATCTATGCTCATGAACTAATCGTAGAATCTAAAATGAACTAATCAAAACGCTTCCAAAGCAGCACCAAGTGCAAATATATCATAATCTTCGGTGCTGCACCAGTCATGGTGATCATGGCCATGTTTGCATCCACACTCATTCCACTTGTTCAACCTCCTTCTATTCTCTGTAGCTGAAGCCACTTGTATTTTAATCTCCACTTGTACTTCTGGTGCTCTGAACATAGCATCTTCACAACCACTACCACTCACCAAATCCATCTTCACCCACTTCTTGAACTCCATGTTTGGTGATTCAAGAATTTCCTTCCATGGAATCTCACCCTTCCCCACGAGATGTGACCCCAAAATCTTCCTCAGCACTTGTGGGGCTGTGTTGCTCTGCCGTAGCTCCAACACCAGAGTTTCTTGTTGAAGGGTATCCAAGAATTCTTGGGGACATGAACAGTCTAGACTGAAAGACTCGTTCCAAAAGGGAACAGATTTGGATGAAACCTTTTTGCTGTTGAGTTGAATTCTTCTGTTGTTTCCTGCTGGAAGATACAACCTGGCAAATAGGTTTTTGGTTGACTTGATGAACTCTACATTTTGTGCTTGTATTATTCTAAGTTCACAGCTAAAGGAAGGAAGATTTCGTGATAGATCCATTAAGAAACGGAGAGTATAAGTGTATATCTTGTTATGTGCTTTAGCTAAAAAGAAGAGAAAGGGAAGCAAAGTGTAAGAGGTTTGTTTGAGTTTGAGTTGTTGTTCTGAGTTTAATTTGGACATGGACGACCATAATTTATATAGACTATATGATTGTATTTTTTTAATATTGTAAAAAAAAGTTGGAAATGCTTTCCAGGAAGCTGCTCTTATCCTAACACATTTAGATAGTATTAATTATATAGTTTTATAACTGGCCAGTATCTTAGTTTGTGATTTTGTGAATATTATAAGGCCAACTTAGATCTTAAATCATCCACATGAGATTGTGTCGAAGAGTATTATATAATTTATAACTGGCCAGTATCTCAGTTGTGGTTTGTGAAAAGTATGAATGCAAAGAAGATTGTGCCGAAGATTATATCTTATTTAAAAAAGCCTCTCAGAATCCAGAAAGGCTAGATTTGCGATATGGCTCTTGCAAGTAGCTAGCAAGGGTATTGGGTTAAAATTCAACTGAGTCATGTTGCAATACCACAACCCCTGACCCCAAAGGTGGAAAAGATCAGAATAAACAACATTTTTATTTATTAGTGTTCTCATAAAGGGCTTCTTGAATGCTGGCTCCAACCGACTTGGCCGTCAAGAAAGACCCTCATTAACCACATGTTTATTATCCAATTTTGATAAGTTGTAATAATCTACATAAATTATAAAACAGTACAAAATTTGTCCACACACTTTGCATTTTGCTTGGAAAGTCGATAGGATATTTGCGCGGGACTTGTTGGACGAATTACCTATGCAAATCATGTTGGCTGGGAATCCCTATTCACTCATCCAACAAATTGCATGTTTGGATTCAAATGGTCGTTGTCTCGACGCTACTCTTAGTGCTACAACAGATGTTAACATAGAGGTTTTCTCGAGGTCCATAAGGATCTTTTGTTGAAGCTCCAAGAACGAGTTGATAGAAGAGTGGGGATTGTTACTTACTCCAACAATTGAAGTTCGATTTCAACACATAAATGTTGTGGCAAAAAAGGTTTGGAAGGGAAGCAGAGCTTTGCCTACTTACCTGGACTTCACTACTAATATATTGGAAGCAAATGCACACTTCATAGATGAACTTATATCTACTAGCTTGGACAACTCTACAACTGTTGAAATTATGAAACGTCTTCGACAAAATTTTTAACATTCTAAATAGAACAACTGTCATCCTTGTATTGCAACTAGAACCTGAGACATTTGAGCTTTTTGATGACATTACATTACCCTCCTTTCTGATGGCCAAATAGTATACGAAGGACTTCATGTGCTTGTCCTTGAATTTGTTGGATTTGTGGGTTTCATATGTCCTAATTCCCCGCTTTTTATTTTAGCTGCTTTGAGAATTATGCTCTGGTTGCTGCTTTTCTGCACCAAGGTAGTGTTTTCAGTGATAAGAGGTAGCTGGCCTTCTTGATGTGGCCTCCTCAACCTCGAGGACGAGGGTGCGTTTGGAGGGCAGGGGAATGTAGCAACCCAATAGTCCAAGCTAATGGCACTCAAATATTTTTCTTATTCTTATTTTCTTATTGTCCCTAATATTTTGCTTTTTATTAATTCCTTTTTTGTAATTACGGTTAACAATTCAGTTGCAACTTTGGTGTTATAAAATGGAGTAAGAGCACTGAAATGGGTATAAGAAAATGGGTTTGCATAATACTCTTCTCTCTCTAATTTTCTCTTCCTTTTCCTATCTCTTTCTTCTTCTCTTTTCTCCTACTTCAATATCTTCTGTTTCAACATTTATACCGCTATAGAGTGACAGCTAGGCCTCCTTCGAGAGGCAGCGATTAAAGGGGATTGTTTTCTCATTTAACGTGAGAAGAAAAAACAATCTCCTACACACATAGAAAAGATAGAGGAGAGATAATAAAAAAAAGAGAAAAAATTTAAAATAGATCTCATATTTAATTTGTAATTAGTGCATGAGATAATTATCTCATCTAAAATGAGATAACTATTTCCCACGATTAAAAGACAAGTAGAAGGTTCCAGCTAGACTTACTTGTGACTTACATGTATACCACAAACACGCATCCTCCAAAAGGAATAGGCATATCTGTTTGATATTTGAATGATGTGTACATCATAAGAATGTTAATTAATTAATATTGCCCACGTATAAATAAAAATTTTAACATTCTCCTCCTTAGGCTATATTAATTAATATTATTTTGAATAAAAGGATTTTATTTCTAAAATGACTCTATCAGGTTAATAACTAAAAAATAATTTTACGTGGCCACGATGTTGAAAAACAATATTTTAATTCCAGCATCTCATCTCAGAACGATTCAATCCAACATAACCCCGTCATAGGAACATGACGGTCAATATACCGAAAATATCATAGCATATGACCTTACATACTCACATACAATGAGTATTACATCTTCATGAATCAAGGCCCAGTAGTGTAGTAAGTATTAGTGTCAAAATGTGATCAACAATGTAACACCCTAATTCTTATCGGTCCTCAATGTAATTTCTCAACAACATGAAATCACATTAGTGCAATTTCCAAGCAACAAGAAATTACACTTCTTGATACAATTTCTCAACAATATGAAATCGCATCACCGCAATTTCTAAACAACATGAAATTGCTTTGCTTAAATAAGCCAGTATGTCACAATACAACATGAGATCTCAACAGTGACAATTATATATCTTTAAACTTTACAACATGTTTAAAGACAATTATACTTCTCAGTCAACAAGAGAATAATAACAAAATAATGATGATCATCAAAAATAAAACATCAACAATTCTTAAAAATATCAGTCTGCGTGCAAAATAAATAAATAAACACGACTCCCACTAATCAAGGGAATGAAAAGAATCAAAGATACTCAAAAGAAAACCTCGAGTACGACTCCCACTAATTAAGGGAATCAAAAGAATATAAAAAACTCATGTTCTATATACAAAGGAGGCTACTCGAAGGTATTTCCTATCAAAACTTTTAGATAAAAAGCTCTTGTTTCATGTAGTAACTCATCATCTTATTGAAAAATAAAATATCATCTACATAAATTAATTAATTAATATAGCTCAAGTGGGAGAATGTTAGAATTTTTATTTATATGTGGACAAAATTAATTAATTAGTTTTGTATTTTAAAATTAATCGGGTTAATGGATATTCCAACATTGTTACTATAACTAGTCCATTGTGATCACATTGCATTGAGCTTCTGGCATATGTTGTTATTGGGCCTAGTTGGGCAGCAGTGTAGACTTTAGTATGACCCTGGTTTTTCATGATGGGTGGACCTAGTGGACACAGACTCTTTTCTGGATTATTTAGCTAGGTCCTCTCTCTAGCCTAATTATATTGGGATTAAGTCCCATGAGTCATCATGCTTCCATCACTGAGGCTGCCTTTATCGAAATAGGTGATAGAGAGAAAAATCTGGCATGTAGTCCATTCTTTCTTTCGGCTTTGTGATGATCCAACAAGATTCACACAATTTCAACTTTGATTTCACATTGTTTGGTATTTTATAATCATATACATGATCCCGGTTTATAAATTTTTGACAAAGAATACTAAAAATGATCATCAAACATAACTGAATATTCCTGCATGTCGTATTTCAATTTAAATTTTTTCATGTGAACTTACTTTATGATTTATTACCGGCAATAATTTGTTTAGGTTCAGTGAATCAGTGTACACACATCCCAAGCTTTGCCGACACAGAGATTTAACAATTGTGTCACGGTCTCATTAGTATTAAAGAAATAATCTTATCATATATACAATTCCAACATTAAAAAAAGGGGTTCATGCTTCTTAAAAAATAAATAAACAATCTATGCTCATGAATTGCATAGTTAAAAACAGACAAAAAGGCAACTGGAATCCCAGAATCTATACTGAACTAATATTAATTTGTGCTTCCGTTTACTTGCTCTCTTCTATATCAAAAAGCTTCCAAAGCTGCACCAAGTGCAAACATATCATAATCTTCGGTGCTGCACCAGTCATGGTGATCATGGCCATGTTTGCATCCACACTCATTCCACTTGTTCAACCTCCTTCTATTCTCCTTTTCCATCTCTGCAGCTGAAGCCACTTGTATTTTAATCTCTACTTGTACTTCTGGTGCTCTGAACATAGCATCTTCACAACCACTACCACTGACCAACTCCATCTTCACCCACTTCTTGAACTCCATGTTTGGTGATTCAAGAATTTCCTTCCATGGAATCTCACCCTTCCCCACGAGATGTGACCCCAAAATCTTCCTCAGCACTTGTGGGGCTGTGTTGCTCTGCCTTAGCTCTAACACCAGAGTTTCTTGTTTAAGGGCATCCAAGAATTCTTGGGCACATGAACAATCTAGACTGAAGGACTCGTTCCAAAAGGGAACAGATTTGGATGAAACCTTTTTGCTGTTGAGTTGAATTCTTTTGTTGTTTCCTGCTGGAAGATACAACCTGGCAAATAGGTTTTTAGTTGACTTGATGAACTCGACGTTTTGGGCTTGTATTATTCTAAGTTCACAGCTGAAGGAAGGAAGTTTTTGTGATAGATCCATGAAAAAAATGGTGAGTATTTCAGTATATCTTGTTATGTGTTTTAGCTAAAAAGAAGCGAGAGGGAAGCAAAGTGGTAAGAGGTTTGTTTGAGTTTGAGTTGTTGTTCTGAGTTTAATTTGGACATGGACGGCCATAATTTATATACTATATGATTGTATTTTTTATATATTGGAAAAAGAAGTTGGAAATGCTTTCTAGGAATCTGCTCTTATCCTAACACATTTAGATAGTATTAATTATATAGTTTTATACCTGACCAGTATCTTAGTTTGTGATTTTGTGAATATTATAAGGCCAACTTTGATCTTAAATCATGCAAATGAAATTGTGCTGACTCCTGAGGAGTAGTATATAATTTATAACTGGCCAGTGTCTCACTTGTGATTTGTGAATATTCTAAATGCCAACTTTGATCTTAAATCATGCACAGGAGATTGTGCTGAAGATTATATCCTATTTAACAAAGCCCCTTTCAGAATCTTGAAAGGCTAGATTTGCGATATGGCTCTTGCAAGTTGCAAGGGTATTGGGTTACACTTCAACAGTCACGTTGCAATACCACAACCCCTGACCCCAAAGGTGGAAAAGATCAGAATAAACAACATTTTTATTAATTAGTGTTCTCTTAAAGGGCTGCTTGAATGCTGGCTTCAACCGACTTGGCCGTCAAGAAAGACCCTCATTAACCACATGTTTATTATCCAATTGATAAGTTGTAATACTCTACATAAATTATAAAACAGTACAGAATTTTCCTACTGGTGAAGCTTAGGAAAACACTGTCTGTCATATTATTCCATTATACAGTTGATATCATTATTGAGAAACTCTGGCGTTTTTGTAACAACATGTTTGGTGCATAGTATAGATAAGGCTTAATAGTATAAGATCCGGTTGTATAAAACTTACTTAAATTTTAATATTATCTAGTATTTTACATGATATTTTATAAGATAATGTATTATATAAAATAATATCGTACAGTGTTTGACAATGCAATGTATAATACTAGATATGATAAAAATAAATATTTTTAACAAAAATAGCCTTTAATAAAAAATTTATATAATTTTTCTAAATATATTATATAATATTAATTTTTATAAAAATCTATCGATTTCCAAAAAATATATTATTTTTTATAAGAATAAAAATCTTCAATTTTTTAAAAATTAAAATATTATTTTTATTTTAATATATTAATGTTAAAATAATATATTAATTCTTGAAAATTGCTCTGGTCAGCGATGCTAATACATCAATCCTTTATCAGGCCTAATCTCATCCCCTTAGACCTGATTAAGTTATATATCATTTTATGTATTAAATAATTCTACCGTATAAGCTTATATTATACGATGGTCACACCAAATAACTAAAAATGTCATAACGTATAGTATAAACTTATACTATCAGGTCTTATATATCACATATCTATTTTATGCTCTAATACCAAATTTTTATCACGTTGATGTAATCATTACTTTTTTCTATCTATTTAATTTGATCATGAAATTTTTATTCCAAGGGCTAAGTGTTGGTGATTAACTAATTTTATTCAGATATTATTGCATTTTGAGTGATATGTGATTTGGATGCATACTATGCAGGATGATGGGTCCAATTTACTAACTATCCAAGAGGTGAAGTAATAAATATTTAAGGAGTAAGGAAACACATTTATCTCACGCACACGTTATCTCGCCGTTAGTGTGACAGTTAGGCCTCCTCAATAGCCAATAATTGAAAGACGAGCACAAGATTCCAGCTAGATTATGTATCTCACAAACAAGAGTACATTTTGGATGCAACGAGAGTAGGTACTCTATTATTAAAAGGAAAAAAAAAAAGGTGAAAGAAAATAAGCATAAAAATAAAGGTAGTGTAAATGTGTTATTTTTTTATATTTGGTAAAAAATGTACCGAGTGAATAGTACAACGGCGAAACCAAGAAAATTATTTAAGTGGTGTCAAAAAATTTGACATATCAAATTATCAAAATATTTATCGTAATGACTCAAATTTATTAGGAACAAATTTAATATGAATTCTAGTATACTTATCTAAATTATTGACTAAATAATATCACTTAACATTAAAACTTCAAATGAACAATTATCAAAAATTATATAACAAAGCAAATCTTTTGAATTGTTCCAAACCTTTCACAGTGGTGATACATTTTCACTTGTTACGTATAACTTTCTCAATCCTGAAAAGCAACACCACTTCTAATCATAATAAAATTATTGGAACCATGTATATTTAGCATCAAATTATAATAATGAGTGTCCTTAATTCAAGAGCGAAGCAGCTCCATCACAAACCTTAGATTTTTCCTTTCTCTCTATCCTTATTATTTTTTGAGTAAACACATTTTTTAGTCCCTGGCAATATCTACGAAGTCTTTTTCAGTCTCTGGCAATAAAAAAGGACCAGAGTGGTCCCTGAAAGTACAAGAAAAGGGCCACTCTACATATTTTGGAGTTGACATAAGGACTAACATGACCATTTTTTTGTAATTTTAGAGACCAATTTGGTCCTTTTTTATTGTCAGGGACTAAAAAGGACTTCGTAGATATTGACAAGGACTAAAAATGGTATTTACTCTTATTTTTTCTTTTCTCCTTTTTGTTAAAGCTTTTTCAACGCTTCCTTCAAAACCAGCCCCCCTTTCTTGCGTCTTCCTGTTGTGATGAGAAGACCTACCTTCGAGTAATGTGCCGGGTTGCATGTCTGTGTAAGCTGCCTTTGATAGCTAGACTGAAATGAGGGATAGAGCATAAATATAACAGAGGCTACTTCTAAATGTTTGGGACAACATTAAGTGTTTATAAATATGTTTTAATTAAGCCAGTGAATTGTTTATCAAGGAATTTGAATAATTTGTATTAAGTTGTGTGTCTAATTTTCATTTATATCCCAAAAAAATAAAAAAAATTAATATTTAGATAATACCAATAAGTACCAAAATGACTCCACCACTGGATCATACATCCGTAAAACCGAAAATATTTTGCATAAACAGACAATCTGCAAACAGGATAGGCATCTCTGTTTGATATTTGAATGTTTTTTCTTGAACAATATCAACATCATAAGAATACTAAAAACGATCATCTTATTACAAAAAAAAAAACGATCATCATACATAACTGAATATTCCTGCATGTCATATTCCAATTTTAATTATTTTCATGTGAACTTACTTTATGATTTATTACTGGCAATAATTTGTTTAGGTTCAGTGTACACACATCCCAAGCTTTTGCCAACACACAGATTTAACAATTGTGTCAGAGTCTCATTAGTATTAAAGAAATAATCTTATCATATATACAATTCCAACATTAAAAAAAATAAACAATGTATGCTCATGACTTGCAAAGTTAGAAACAGACAAAAAGGCAACTGGGATCATAGAATCTATAATGAATTTGTGCTTCCATTGCTTGCTCTCTTCTAAATCAAAAAGCTTCCAAAGCAGCACCAAGTGCAAATATATCATAATCTTCGGTGCTGCACCAGTCATGGTGATCATGGCCATGTTTGCATCCACACTCATTCCACTTGTTCTTCAACCTCCTCCTATTCTCTGCAGCTGAAGCCACTTGTATTTTAATCTCTACTTGTACTTCTGGTGCTCTGAACATAGCATCTTCACAACCACTACCACTCACCAACTCCATCTTCACCCATTTCTTGAACTCCATGTTTGGTGATTCAAGAATTTCCTTCCATGGAATCTCACCCTTCCCCACGAGATGTGACCCCAAAATCTTCCTCAGCACTTGTGGGGCTGTGTTGCTCTGCCTTAGCTCCAACACCAGAGTTTCTTGTTGAAGGGTATCCAAGAATTCTTGGGGACATGAACAGTCTAGGCTGAAAGACTCGTTCCAAAAGGGAACAGATTTGGATGAAACCTTTTTGCTGTTGAGTTGAATTCTTCTGTTGTTTCCTGCTGGAAGATACAACCTGGCAAATAGGTTTTTGGTTGACTTGATGAACTCAACGTTTTGGGCTTGTATTATTCTAAGTTCACAGCTGAAGGAAGGAAGATTTTGTGATAGATCCATTAAGAAATGGAGAGTGTATAAGAGTATATCTTGTTATGTGTTTTAGCTAAAAAGAAGAGAAAGGGAAGCAAAGTGTAAGTGGTTTGTTTGAGTTTGGTTTGTTGTTCTGAGTTTAATTTGGACATGGACAGCCATGATTTATATACTATATGATTGTATTTTTTATATATTGGAAAAAGAAGTTGGAAATGCTTTCCAGGAAGCTGCTCTTATCCTAACACATTTAGATAGTATTAATTATATAGTTTTATAACTGGCCAGTATCTTAGTTTGTGATTTTGTGAATACTATAAGGCCAACTTAGATCTTAAATCATCCACATGACATTGTGCCGAAGAGTATTATATAATTTATAACTGGCCAGTATTTCAGTTGTGCTTTGTGAATATTCAAAACGCCAACTTTGATCTTAAATCATGCACCGGAGATTGTGCAGAAGATTTTATGTTATTTAACAAAGCCTCTTTCAGAATCTTGAAAGGCTAGATTTCCGATATGGCTCTTGCAAGTAGCTAGCAAGGGTATTGGGTTAAAATTCATCAGTCATGTTGCAATACCACACCCCCTGACCCCAAAAGTGGAAAAGATCAGAATAAACAACATTTTTATTTATTAGTGTTCTCATAAAGGGCTGCTTGAATGCTGGCTTCAATCGACTTGGCCGCCAAGAAAGACAACATGCTTATTATCCAATTGATAAGTTGTAATAATTAATGAGATTAATATTTTTCATGTTCAAGGAGATAAAATTATATCATATATTTTTATCAAAAAATTATTTCTTATACACACATAAAATGTGTGGGGCCATGTGAAAAGAAAAAAAAAATGAACTCCATGCATTTTTATGTAAATTATCTCTTATAATATGATAAACACAAATCTCAATTAATTTACATGAATTGTAAAACAGTATAAAATTTTTCTACTTCTCGTGCAGCTTATGAAAATACAGTCTTTGTCATATTATTCCATTATAGAGTTAATATCATGTTCAAT